TTAGTGTGTGAGGGGTGAGAGGAGCGGTAGTGAACCACTATATTCTTACTGCTCGGCTTTCGATACCATTTTGTGTTGTAGCCGTTCTCGGATAGGTTAATTTGAAGGTTTAGAAATGGAAGCCAGTTTTCTTTCGGTTTCTCACGGGTGAATTTTATGTACTCTGACTGTTCATTCAATAACTTAAAGCATTTGTCCATCTCCTCTTGTGTGGAGCAGATGACAAAACAATCATCTATATACCTACAGTAGAGTAATGGCGTGAGATCGATTACTGGTGCTTCCACTTTAGACATAAAGGCAACGGCAAGGGTTGGTGCCAGTCGCTGTCCCATTACCAACCCTCTAATTTGTGCGTAATATTTAATATTGCGATTTTTACATTCTTGTTTAGCCAACATGAGGTGTCATTATTTCTTTGTTTACGCAGAAGCTGTTTCGACGGATTTCGTTCTCCTCAGAGCCTGGTATGGTTAAGTTGGTCGCAATCTAACCTGCCAAACATTTCCATACCTAAACAGAGAAAATGCTAAACCAAGATTTCGATAACACAGAATAGCTTCTTTGCAGGGATGAATGCCTCATAATCACACGTGGTATTGGACAGTATTCAAGACTGTTGTTTTAATGTAAGAGGCACATATTGTTTCCATGCGAATTCTATGGCGTTGGGTTCCATTTGAAATACTCAGTGGAAGACTCGTAAAAAGTGGTGAGTGTGCAAATAAACTACTCTGTGTCCAACGCGGTTGAAATCTTGGTTTAGGCTTAGGCGGAGATCAACTTGACCTTTCAGACTCTGAAGAAGGCGAAACCGCCGAAATGTCAGTTTCTGCGCAAAATGAAGAGATGAAATAACACCTCTTGTTTGCTAAACAAGAATATAAAGAATTGTTCGATAATTACCGTGGTTAACAGGAAGTTGGTCGTGGGAATTACCACTAACTGAACTAAAATCGTTTACGATCTGCCAGGAAGTCCATAAGATAAGTTAAGTAATAAGAAAAAATCCATAAGTTCCCGTCCTACCAAAAAGAAAAATTTCTGATTTTCTGTGGCCCATGAGGACTATATTCCCCACTTTTCACGTCGAAGCCCGTTTTATAAACAGATAGGCGGCTGAAGAAGCAGTATCTCGTTAAATAGGACACAATGGCCTTTCCCAATGTGTCGTTGATGCCCGCAGATACCAGGTTTTGCTAGAATTCTTAAGAATTTAAAACTCACTTCGAATTTCTTGGAAATTTCGACTCTAAACAAATTCGAAATCCAAAGTCAACTTTGCAGAAATTATATAGACGCTTAAGGTTATAAAGCGTAGTTCCTCCTACAAATATGTGACGCTTTCAACACCTACAGTACTCTAATGAGATCGAGAGCTTATCTTCATTGCCGAAAAACCAACAATGTGCATAAAATGTTCAATTTCGATAAGTAACTTCAACAATGACCTCAGCCGGATTAGTCACAGACGACTCGTATGGCTCTTTCCCGATTTCAACACATTCGCAGCAAAGTGTGTTTTTCGATAAATACCAACAATTTCCTTCTCATTAGAGTACTTAAAACCTTCCGGAGTTGACAGATTATAGGTGTGTACGCTTCGTTCCAACCATATATATCACTTCTCGGAAATTCTTTTTGAGTTTCAAGTTAGTCTGAAATTCAGACGTTCAAAAGAAACAGTGATGGATTTTCAACGCACAAGCTAACAGTCGAAAGCCACAACGATATATCCCAAAACATCGGTTATAAAGGAATAAATATGAAGCTATCGGCGTTAATCAATCCATGAAGGACCCGCCATGTATTCGACTTCATTAAGCATCGTTGGCGGTGACTGAATGCATGTCTGACCTTTACAATGACTCACGGTGGCCTACCGATGTACCGAGCTAGTGCTGCTATTCTTCCAAACAAGACTGGTACCAATTTGCCGACTACGGAGTGGCTTAGTGGCCCTGGGGTGCGGGGACCGATCCCATGTGTATTGCCGGGCGTCTTCAGCCACTACGCTATACGCGCCCCCGGTAATACTGTAGTGAGAAGAATTACCAACAGTTATACGAAGACCAGAAACATAGCTAATGTATCAGATGAATAATATCCGTATTTGATTAAAAAATAGAAATTGAAATCTATATGTCTTTTTTCGCAGCATCAAAAGAGTGAAGAAAATGATAACGATTGATTTTGCAGATTAAGCTCAAATATTACTAAGCTAAAGACAATGACTTTTATTGAAATTTTAACGGTTCCTATCTCGACTCTTAAAAAAGCAAACGAGAAAAAAAAACTAGCGTTACAGTGGATGACTGTAAACTATTACAGCCGACTCGAAGCATCACCAAGCTGCCAAACGAGATTTCGCTGTTGGTCGAGAATGTGGATGAACAATCTCCAAATGAACTACTAGATGATAAATTTTCATGGGAGAAGATAGTACATAAAGGAAGGTACTTCGGATGATCAGTGCGTGGGTTTGAATAAAAAATCCAGCAACAAGGTGGTTAAGACTAGTTATGGTTCGAAAATCTCCAACAAACACGATCGTCAACAAAATCCCTTGGGTTTAAAAAATATGTGTGCTACTATGAATAAAACTACCACTGAACCAATACCACGATCCACCACCGTCCTGGTATCAAACTAGTAGCATGGTGGCAAATCTCCCTCCGATCCACAAGGGCGGCGACTCTCTGCGGTGGTGATGACCTGGGCAGACTTTGGCTAGGCTGACCTCGGGACTCCAGAAGAATCACAATGGTTGAACCAGCAAAACTCCGAAACAATGGAAGTTACGCTGGCGCCCGCACAACCACTGACGACGGGCCATTCAAGTATCCAAGTAAGTACTACAAATGAAACGAAATGTATAACAGTGAACCGCACTTTCGGTGCAGAGGAATCCAGCAGGGACAGAATTCTGCAAAACTAGGAAGGAATCTAGGTGCAAGCTTACTCTAGGAATACCATGCAAGTGATTGGCATATAGAAAAGCCTTGTATTAAAAAGTGGCAAACTTCTCGTAAGAACCTAAATAGAAGACTCAGCAGTACTTGTTACTCGATTAAATAGATGAAACAACGATTATTGTACATACGATACAAATAATACAGATTCGTACCGCCCGATGACAGACCAACCACAATTTCGAGAAAAAGTAGAAAAAAAACCAAAACGAAGACCGTAAAGTTCAAACTTATCAAATTCGCGACTGCATGCTTTACTATTCACACTGTCTAAAGTTTACGGTCGCTCGCCATTCGAGGTCAACACACTCAGCTCACATGGCATCATTGAATTAGTAGTTTGAATAGGAACTCTTATACCTACAAATCTTTACTTTCCGTAAAGAACCTTTTTTATTCAACGGAGGTGTAACATTGATAATCTGCAGCTCATGAAATACTTTTCTCTCAATCTCTCTACGTTAAGGCCTAAGGTCGAACATGAAACCCATAAAACATCTGGGATTCCGCCCAACTGGACACAGTTCTGTCCCCTGACATTTGGTTTGAATTAGCCCGAGTCGCGGTTAAGAAGAAACTCGAAGACTTTCGTCATCTTTTTACAAACCTTTGAAGTGAAAACTTGAACTCCGTCGTTCATCTTTTTACAAGCTTTAAATTAAGAACAACATAAAAATGAAGGAATATCCCACGAAAATTATACATATGCTCAACTTTACGCTAAAAGCGATGGAGTTAAATGCATTCTGTAAAGCTCTGTGATTCTCAACTCTTAACGGCTCTAGTGATGGCGAAATTACCAGAAATTAAAAAAGGAAAAAACAGCATTTTCGCAAATATGTTGGTCACATTTGCGTTAAAATGTGTAGAGAAATTGGATCACGACAGAGACAAAACCATCTCAGCATAGAACGACATTAAAACATCGAAAATCTAACATTACAGTCCATAGATGGATATCTCGGCGAACAAGAAAACAAAGAGAGAAAACAAGGTAAACAGAGAACAGAAACGGACAAGAAGGAACTTGTCATCAAATTCCTTGCTATAGCATTAGATAGATGGAACAAATACCGTTCAACACCAAATATACGGCCTCAATTGTTAGAGAACCTTTGCAAACCATTCGGTAAAAATTTACGCGGTTTAATATTTACAGGGTCTTGAAAAAACACTTCAAAAACACAAAAACGATATAGGCAGACAAATTGAACGCTTTTACAAAAAAAAAAGAAAAAACACGTTAAAATCTACCCGATGAAATTTAGTGCTAAAAAATATTTCGTGCAGAATGGGAAACATCGGAAAAGAAACAATAATTTTAAGCTAGAAACATGAGAAAATTATATAGCTAAGAGGAAAGCTTCAAATCAGTAGTTTGTTTGAAAAGAGGTGAGATAATCATCGATGAAATCAGTTGACGCCGGCTAACTGCAACAACTCTTCCATACCAACTGGACGCCATGAAAACGATTGAGTATCCATTAGGTAGACAATATTTCGATCCAAATAGATAGACTGCGTCCCGAACCAATACACCTGAGTAACTTCTCTAGATGAAAGCATCAAATGAAGACGAAGTGAGGAAACTACCACAATGATTCTGAGAAAATTGCAAAACTCGGGAACACAGGTGTCTTCGGTGGGGAACGAACGCGTTATTACCCTTTCCTGTGAGTAACGCGTTCAGCTACAGTGGATTCCCTAGATCGGGTGATTGGTGAGGCCACTGGTATATGGAAAACAAGCTGAGAGAAAGGCAAAACGAAGGACCAACATGGTAAGGTGATAAACGCGCCAGCCCCCGGGAAAGTGTGACAGTGCGTTCGTTCCCCACCGCATACACCTGCGGTTAAAAGTTTTGCAAATACCTCAGCTTCGCTGTGGTTGCATCACACATAACACGCTGCCATGAAAAATTGTAACAAGCAGTAAAAAAAATTGATATTGAAAAAATTACGTTTCTGAAAGAAAAGCCGCCATAAACATACTTGTCTACCGTCTTTAAAGCGATCACGCTGTGGAATGTGAGTTAGATCATGTTGAGCAGCCATTCTCTCAAGCATTTCTTTAAGAGACATCTGCGATGATGAGATGGATATGGCATTTGCTCTGATGAAAATAAATTTAAGCTTAAGCGAAAGCTCAACTCTGGTTGCTCTGTTCTAATTTGGTATAGCTGATTCCATTCAGCATCTACAATGGAATCTAATTTGTAACCCAAACACACAAAAGTAACCAATCCTTAAATAAAAAGTCACGCAGCATCGGATCAATATTTGAACATAAGAACATAAAATTCGACGGACATAATTGTAACTGAAGAAGTGGGAACAGATAAAAAACAATGGATACCTCATGACAGCGGCGAGAGGTGGAGGAGGAGGTGCAGCTTGAACAACGGGCGGTGGTAGCGGCGCGGAATACACTCTAAGACCTTGCGACGATTCCATTAAAGCCACCATGCCTCTCCGAAGATTCTCTGAATAATTTCCGGAAATGAAAAACGGCATAGAAGTAGTAGGACCTCTATGAATTGAAAGTATGCATTCCATAGGCATATCCACTCCGTATTCTTTGTTTCCCCTGTGAAATCGAGAAATCTGATACTGGGTAACACGTCATTAAATCAAACTTTACACGTATAACCAACAATCACGAGTAAGAAGAGAATTTGACGAGTTGTCTTCAAAAATTTGAAGCCTTTCATCTCTGAGGTTCGAATGTAAGCGGAGTAGTCAGCACCTAACTCAATACTGATTAGAAGTCGCCGTTTCTGTGATGCAGACTGTACCTAACTATCTAACAACTTTCAAGACCGATGAAATTAACAAAAACATCAGCAAGGTTGTTCACCACTACCTGGGTTCTTATCATGTCAGGAGGTAGAAATCAGCCTCAGCATATAAGGGAATGAGGTTTCAAATCTTTTTGTCTACTAATGTCTTTCTACAACCTAACACTAAGAAACAATAGCTCAATACCATGACCATGAATTACGAGTGCCAAAAATAATATTTTACACTGCCCTGGTTGAGCGGACCCAGCATAATTTCTATTTTTTCGAAGTTTTGCTGACCTAGCTATTGCGGTTTCCTGGAGTCCCGAGGTCAGCCTAGCCAAAGTCTGCGCCAGGTCATCCCCACCATAGTCAGCTGCCACCCTTGTGGATCAAAGGGAGATTTGCCACAATGCGACTAGTTTATGGCGGAAACGCCGGATTCCTCAGTTTGGGAGACCATGATAGGAGGATAAATCGTCCTACTGTACATCGCAGCCACACACCCAGGATCATCTCCCAGCCACGATGAGAAAAAATGAATAGATCAATTTAAATTGAATACTTAATTCCAAGCAGTGGCTACCTCCACCTTTTGGATGAGAAAATGTAGTACCTTTAATTGTAGGAAAGTCGCGTATTTGGAGTGGAATCCTTGCATCCCACTCCCGATACCATAACTTTACTTCGTCTATAATAGCTCTGGGAGAATCAAGCCACTGACACAGTGCTGTATACCACTATAATAAGGGTTAATTAATTGCTCCAATGACACCAGCTTACCAACTGAAAAGGTATTTTTAAAAACACTACGGTGTAGTCAAGAAAATATGTGGTAAACTTCCACAGCAAAACTATCCAGAAAGGCTCACCCTGGGAAAGAAATATTTAGTGACGACGCTGGTCATAACCTCAGCGGAGATCATTCCTATCCAAGACATGCATGCATACCATTCCTCGTATTTTTTATTTTCTCGTGGATTTAAATTCATAGTATCGAGACATTTTTCCAACTAAAAGAATAGCAAATGATCTCAGCATCACTGAAGTTAAAAGAATAGCATTTAAACAAAAATTATGCACTGTCCTGAAGACGCTATAGACGCACGGAACAAAGCACAGAAATACTTGCTGCATGGCGAAGAAAAGAAAAAAAAACGCAAATTTTCGGGAGCTGATCTCGGGTCATGAATATTAGAAAAAAAACCTTAGGAACTACGTTCTGTGCAAGAAACGCTGACATTGTAGCAGGAGCCCAAACTCCACACCATGGTTTAAGAATGGCCATTGCGCTGGAAATTCATTTGGTCATTTATTCCAACAAATTTCGAAAAAGAAGCCAAATAAAATGAAAAAGAAAAATATTGTCGTACCTACGATCCGTTGGGTTCCATAATCGGAGTGCTTTTGCCAATTTTTGTCTAATTGGTGCTAAAACCGGTTGAAGACGATCTCCAAGAACAGCTAACCAAGGTACAAGCCATGAATGAATGGGCACATTGTCCGTGAGAGGATCCCAAGACGATACTCGATCGGCAATGCGTGGGATGATCACCTTAAGGTTCGTTAAATCTTCATGAAAAACAAAATGTCATTTAGTTATGCCTTGAACAGTTGTTGAAATACTACAACGACAATTCTTATGGAGTTTGAAAAGCGAATAAAGAACAACTAGGTGGACAACCTCAATACCTGCTCAAGAATATTTTCTTTCATCCAACCAGGGAGAACCGGTAACCACATCTCAATAATGCGTAGCATAGGCTCCATTTGGTCACGTGGATCCCAATCTAAGGATGACCGTCGAAGAGATGGAAGCCAACCTTCCCATAATAGTCGGTCATAAGCACTTAGGCGATCTAGAGAGGGTAAAATTAACGGAAGAAAACAGAGAAATTAGAAGTAGAAACGATTAAAATAGGAAGGAAATATAAACAAAACAGAAGAGAAAAGGTGGAGGGATCCGCTAAAGTTCTACTACTTTTGACCTCACCTGTAAACATAGAAACTTTTTCGGGATCTACTAGAATATCCCGCCACTCTTTCATCAGGTCAACACCATAGATGAGATGGTCCGGATCAAGAGGTCGCCACTTAGAAAAGTACTCAACAATCTGAAGCATTTTTTGGAGCAATAAAAAGTTACGATTAAAACTACTATTCGCAATAAAATCAGAAGAAATGCATTAAAACAAGCCTGTGGAAGAACAAGGGGAACAGCAAGGGATTCAATGTTGAACAGATGGTACTCTTCTTTGTATTCCGTCCTGAGTTTCACAAAAAGTTGCTGACATTCGTTTATAGACGGAACATCTGCTCCACTCCGCTGCGAAAATCTGAATTTGTTTAAACTTAGTCCTAAACTTTCTCTAAGATCAAGGATGTTACCAGATGTCAAATCATAAACTTTGACAAGTTGAAAACTAAACCAATTCATTAAACTAGTTAACAAAATCTTCGTTTTCGAGAAAACTCACTTCTCAATAAGATCATGGACCTCTTTAATTCGTTCGGAGTCTCTCTCTTCGGTCTCCAACATAGCTTTAGATTGTGTAAGATCATACTCTAGCGCTGTTGTTCGATCCTTAAGAAGTAAAACATTCCTATCAGTTATAAATTCTGGAAACTCAAATTACTAATGTAAATGCAAACCTTAATGGATTTCAGTTGACTGTCGTTTCTGCGAATACTCTCCTCAGTCAAATCAACGAGAAGGTTCAAATTGTGCATCAGTTCCGGAACATCGAAAACGTCACGGTCATTCGTATCATTGAAACTAACTCTGAAAACAACTTAATATATAAGAGACGACATCTTTGTATTCACAAAAAGTAATAGAGCTAACTTATCGGAAAATGAGCACACACAATACTCTATATTTTGAGTTCAATTCGATACTTTCCTTACAACGGTTCACCGCCTAATCGTGGCTGGGAGGTGTTCCTGGGTGCTGGGCTGCAATGTACAGCGGAGGGATTCTTCTCCCTGGCAGAGTCTCCCAGGATGAGGAGCCTGGCGTTTCCATCTAGAAACCCAGCAATCAGCAATTCGCATATTGGCAAATTTTCCTTTGATCCACAAAGGCGACGACTTCCTGTGGTGTTGACGACCAGAGGCAGAGTTTGGCCTGGCTGACCTCGCACTCCAGAGAATCACAATGGCTAAACCAGCAAAACTCCGAAAAAATGCAGATTATGCTGGGGAGTACGCAACTAGTGAGGACGGGTCATCCAGGTATCCAAGTAGTTCGATCCCTTACAACTTCATCTCAACCTAAGAGCATCTTAAAAGACCACTGAAACATAATCTTCAAGGTTGTTTTTCCGCCTGAGCTGAGACACTTAAGAGTATAAAGCTACTCTACTCTCCAGTTGAACCATTAATTCTTGGCAAATGTTTATCGCAAAGCTCACGGGAACGTCCAACCTATACCTACGATGTAAAGCTGTTCCTCAGCAGTGTTTACAGCTGCTGATAAGCCGTCGCTGGCAGAAGTGTTTCTTTTCATCCAAACAAACAAGTTGAGAACCACAAGAAACCTGCTCTTCAATGAGAATGAGTCATATCCACTATAAACACGTTGCTCTGGTCCAGTCATATCAATAACTTTCACTCCAGTCTTCATCGACGATAAAAACCCTATCGATCCACCTTCTTCAATAACTTCATCCATAGTTTTGTATCGAGTTTTGATCTAAACGAAGGATACTTTTAGTAAAGTTACCTTTCATCTGCAATGGTTTTGAACTATGACCGAACATCATGAAGTTACTAAAACAATCTTATACTTTCAGCGCATCGCTACATTTTTCATAAAAACAAATGAAAATAAACTGCTGCCCTCATAATTGGGGAGAATAATTTCTCGCTTAAAAACAAAAACTGCAACAAGAGCAAGAAAACAACCTTAGATGCTTTCTTCCATGCTCCTTTAGAGAGTGGCGCTGACGTCTCTGCCACTCTGGTAGTTTCTTGTTGAGTTTCGGAGGCTGATTCTTGAAAATTTTGAAATACTGGATTAGATGGAGTATGGACTGCAGACATGATCTTATGAACAACCTCGAAATTTGGGTCCGACAGACTCTTTTCCATATGCGCCAATAGCTCCTCGTCCCTTTCGAACCTTAGCCTGCACTGGCTCAACAATTCCTTGTCGAGAAACACCGAGACCTTCTCCCTCTTTATAACCCATAGCCTGGAGCATTTCCCAGATTTTTAAAGCATATAACTACCCTGCTGGATTATAGGCATGAATGGGTAGTTGGGGACATTTTTAAAACAATAGACCTCAAAGGAAAAGTGATGAAAACGACGAGACACAATAACGCCAAACCTTCATCATATTCTTCACTACTTCACCTTTGCCGAATTTGGTCCAGTCACCAAAAACATTTGGATCCACAGCAGCTTTTACTGCAGAACTTCGTATTCCTTAAGAAATTTCGCTTAGCAAGAACTGCAACTATTAAGGTACTCTTATAGCAACAAAAATAAGACGTTCGATTACATAAATACACTTATTCAGACGCATTGAAAAAGTGAAACTCTGCGAAAAAGTCACAATCTTGAAAAACTAGAAACAACCATAATAGTAATGCAAAACAAATTCTTTTACAAAAAACAGTCATTGGGCTGGTGAATGAGGCATGAAACAGCAACTGGCAAAACACTGTACCTGCAAAAACATTCGCTCCAACAGTTGGCTGCTTCTTTCTTTCCCTCTTGAAGGTGATTTCGATCGGTTCGCCATTCTTTTCCACTTCCTTGGCCTGAAGTGGATTAAAATAAAAAACTTTAATCACACACAATGATGCTGAGATAACAGTACCGCTGGCGTCCGCGATGGGGAGTAAACACGTTACTACACTTTCCTCGCGCTAACGCGTTTACCAGCACACCATGAGAGCCTTTCTTTTCGCCTTTTTCACAGCCGTGTTATTGACCTATGGGTGCTATCAGCGATCACCCGGCAACGGGTATGAACGGCTGACAGAAAGGCGAAACGAAGGACTCGCATGGCATGGTGATGAACACATTAGCCCCAAAAAGGGTGCTAGCGCGTTCTGTCTCCACCACAGACACTAGCGAACTAGAAAAAACGACAAACCTTCGTTGGTTCAAAACTACCACCTTGCTTTATACCTCCACTTATAAAATTAATCGGAGCGGTGTAGTCTTTTCTCGCCTTCTTCCTACAAATCATAACCGGTTTAGAAATTAGCTCTAAAGAAAGTTTAATGGAGAGCTTCACCCAAAGGATGGCCTCTCAAATGCCTCTTCTTCATCGCTCTCCCGATCAGCCCAGATACCTAAATGCGATTCATTACAGAGTCGAAACAACCCCTTGTGCACTCACCATCAAAGGAAAAATTCGTAGCAAATACAATTACAATGAGAAATATCAAAAGTAATTCTTCAGAAACGATGATCCGAGGAACTCAATAGATGTGGTCTCACCCCACCATATGTTGCCTGATTCTTGGTTTGGTAATGCCGTTGACCAGGATTCAATGCGAATTCAAGATCGCGTTCATCAAAGTCGAACGATTCCATGCCATCTTCTTCCTCAACCATTGTCGACACTGAAAACTGCTTCGTGCAAGTCTTATGACATTTATTGATGAGCTTACACGAGATTGATAAACAAATTTATTCGGTCAACGTTTGGACGTGTAAAACTAGAGCCAGAACCCGAAACCCAAAAGCCTAGAAGAAAGCGATGATGATCAGGAGTCCCTAGAACGAGCAGAAACTCTCCTACTACTCCTGGTTACTCCTGCATCTTGCAAGCGATAGGGAAAAGTGGAAGATTTACCAGCGCCCGCAAGAGTCATTCGACGATAAGCAGAGCAAGAGGTGATACAAGTGGACGCTTGGAGGTCTTTGTCTTCGTCAGATCAGAGTCAATGGTCCACAATTGTTCGTCTTCTCAATGCAGCCCCCTAGCCGAAGAAATCCCTTTATCAACTTCGTGTAAGCCAAACAATTTAAATCATTACTGATTACTTTACTACCGAGGTTAAATGACGGGCGGTTTAAACATTAGTCTTATTAGAGGTTTTACAACCACAAACTCCCTACAGTTCAATGACGTCTAAACAGGATTACTGCAAAAATCTCAAGAGTACATATACTCGGAAAAAACCTGGACCAAGAATAGAAAGGATGATGAGGCAAGTTTACAGCGCTGCAGATGGTCGGTGGAGGCAGTAGTGGTGAGGTTCAGCTTTTGCACTTGCCATTCTCCACCCGCGAAGAGGAAACGGAAAACTCGTCCCGCTGGCCCGTACCCGCCCATAGCGCTTTCTCATGCTGCTCGGTGGTGGTCTACCGTCCTTGTGTGCTAAAGAGTTCGAGGAGTGATTCTGTTTAGGTTTCGCTTTTAATTTCTTAATGGCAGCTTTTCATGCTATGTCAGTGCAATGGTTTTCTAGTCTCCAACCACAGCTCACTAAACCATTTCCGCGGGGGAATTCGCAGCGTGGCAAATCTGACGCTGTGCACGTGAACTGTCAGCGATACAGTTCCTCTTCTGTTACAGATCCACTTTACTGCTTAAAAGCGACATCGTGGATGATGTGGATTCTTCAGGAGCATTTTGTGTACGTCGGAGCTCCAGTCCCAGCATGGACTCCGAATGCGTCAGCATCTCACGTGACGAGGGGCCAGTGGTAGTGCTCATCACATTCGAATTTTCTGGGACATGCCTTTTCGGAGTGTTGCTCGATTCCCAGACTCACTTCGTTACTAGGTTTCTGCCTCATCAAATCCTTCTCTACAACCACAGCGGTGCTAAGATATTCACAAAAACTGGACCTCGGGCCAGATCGAACCACGATAATCCTTTCCGAGGGCTTGCGCATTACCCAGTGTACCACTGAGAGCTATGCTTTGCCTTTATCTCAGCTAGTTTTCTACCCAACACCTTCTTTTACCTCTTTCTTTGTATTTTCTCGAATGTATTTGAGTGTAATGGATACACTGCACAGTGTTTCTTCTTCTTTTTTCGTTCTCTTTTCCTCGTTTCGCCGTCGCCCGAGCTAGGATGCGTCTTCATTCTTAAGACGATTTCTCTTTCCTCCTCTTTCCGCCATCTATTCGGTTTCAGTTGATGTACACTGTAGAATGCCTACATGAATGTTGAGTTTTCGGCTCACGTGAGGACCAAATGTCATGCAAGCGGTGATCGCCTTGTGTCATTTCTGTGAAAACCACGGTCCAAGGGTGATGATGATCACTCAGCCTATGCGCAGCACATCCAGCAAAGCCCGTCAGGTTAGTCATCAACGAATCCTGCTCGTTATTTGGTACTTTCTACTATGTTTTACTTTCACTAGGTTGAAGTTTTTTAAGTCTAACCGTTTTGTTCAGTATTCGTCTTTATCATGCTGGAACTTGTTTATACCTTGTTAGGTATGTCCACTTTTATGTTCAAAGATGCCAAAAAGTAAGGTTATGAAAGGTCAGTGGCGCAGAAGAGAACACAGTGTCAAGTCATAATGAATCATATCTTCATGCCGTATTACCCTAGCCTTCGTAACAACGTGTAGTGTATAGTCAAAAAGATCGGTGCCATTTTTAGGTCATCTACCACTAATAAATGGACAGTGCTGCCTTGACCCGTGCACTTTCAGGAGTGCATTTCATAGCTACAAATGTATGCTTCTATGAGAACAGCTAGCCTTGCCTTGGCGCATGTAAGGTAAAAAGTGGCTCAACTCGGTCCCGTACTGTAGGTATCGTTGAGAGCTTCACACTCTGACCTCTGCTAGAGGCAACTCGTATTAATTGGCATTTCTGGATCTGCAGCTTCACGTACACTTTCTGAATCAGACGAAATTGAGTCAGCTACGTGAAGAACAGGGTATAAGCTTTTTTGCTGGTTCCTTCGGCTAGGCTCAGGTCCCAGTTTACATGGTCACAAGGTGAAGCCGTTCTTCTCCTTGGTTTTGGTGGATTTGAATGCCCCTACGTGACTGGAATTTACGACACCCTCAACAAAATATCGGATAACTTCTTTAAGTCTGAAGTCCTATCATCCTTAATACCTCTGTTTCAGACCGTAACCAAAATGTGGTCTGCTACCTCTTACTATAGTGGAGAATATATCGACTATCTTTCGACTGAAGTTATGATATGAATATATGAAACCAAAAGTGAAAATACCTCAGTCGCCAAGGACTTGTATTCCAGCCTAATATTTGCAATTCGGACTTTACATGTATAAGGGTTTCTTGACTCCTTACGGACGTCGCCTCTTTCATGTTAATAACTGAAGTCACTTAAAAACTTAATGTAGAGTTTTCTGGTATGGTTCAACAAACGACGGGTCGCGTTGGTTTCCCACTCTTTCGATAGCTGCCTGTGGTTTTTCTATAACTAAAGCAGTTAAGAAGTTTAAAACCTACAGGACTATATAAAAGGGTTTTTATTTATATCCCCAAGGTTTTATATAAGTTTCATAAGCGCTTATTTCAATTTTAAACTCTTTTAGAACAAAGCTTTTCAAGGAATCAAAAACGAGATTTGAATTTTTAAGATCTTCAAGCGGGGTAGCTGCATACGCTAGCGACATTCTAAGGAAGGCTTTAGAGCTATGCAACACGGTTTCTCGCATATTCGGCTAGTTTTGTACAAAAATGCAGGCCTTAAAAAATGAAAGTAAAAAACCTTTTCTTAGGACTCGGTAAATTCCAGGGTTTTGTCGTTGTAGGATAAGAGAATTTGGATCTTATTGGCTAAGATCTGTGTTATATGTTCTTTACTTAAGCTAGTAAGGACAAATATAGTGGTTTAAAGTTGAAAACGGCCATAGTTTTTGTGCCGTAAAAAATAAAAAAGGATAGAACTCTCAGCATTGATCAAGCCCTGAGGAATCGCCATGCATTCGATTTCACTAAGCATCGTTAGAGGTGACTGAAAGCATATCTGACTTTTACAATGACAGGCGGTGGCCTATCGATGTACCGAACCAGTGCTGTTATCCTTCCAGACAAATCTGGTACCAGTTTGCCGACCCCGGAGTGTAGTTCTGCCACCTCTAGCATATTCTCTGGACGTTATTGTCATTCAACTGATTTGTATTTGTAGGTGACCTATCCTACCTAGTCAGAGTTCGTAAATATTCTTTCTATTTGACTATCGTATACTCAGTTTGCGAAAGTGTTACAGCTGTCACCACTAGGAGATAGTGACCATGAAAGGCCGATCTATTACGGAGATTGTACGCCTGAAATTCTTGAAGATCCGGAGGAACGGTAAGTGTTTAATATGATTACAACCTGATGCATTTCTGGTTTATATGTGCTTTAGGTGCAATGCCTGCACTTCTTTCGGTAATATTAATCAGCCTTGTTTGCTTTCAAATGACCATGAGAATAAAACTAGCTATATTAGTACTCAGGTGTGCATTATTTTTGTTCATAAGTGATGCTCTGTCACTAGGGTAGAATTCTATTGAATGTTTTGTATTAAGATTCCTCTAAAAGAGCGAGTTTACGATCGGGTCCGAAATGCGTGTCTACGTTCTTTAAGTTGCGAGATTCCCGCACCACACAAGGAATCATCATTTCCAATACGACAGGTTCACATTGGAACCACTGGTAAATATTGAGGAATTCCTATTTTATCCCGATTCTAACCAAAGTAATTTGTTGGAGCAGTTATTTCTTCCATTATTCACGATTCATTAGTTTTGTGACATTGGTCCCGTGTAAACATAATGCTTTCACGCTGCTTTCTCATATGGCTATTTTTTTTCTACTTAGACTATCGGCGTGGACGAAGAATCTGAATGCACTAAGAAAAAATTGACTAGGTCAGCCTTTGCAGAGTATTCATTTCGTCGTAACTATTTATTCAATTAAATGAAGCAATTCATCCTAACTACTCGGTGATAAAAGTGTTCGGAATATTAGAGACTGCATAAAGGTTTCAATGAACTTGGTAATGTTAGATCGCGGTTATCGACTGTTCCTACTTTCAAATATACCGAAAGAAATCATTCATATGACTGATTTTTCTTAGGGTCCAACTGTAGCGTGTATGCCAACAGAATCCAATGTTTCTACAATTTTTGAAACTTCGTAAAATGTCTTCTTTCCTCTAGTGTAGGATAATGTTGTTCGTCCACCCTCTATTTCAAACTCTTTCTTGATTTTTTTCCACTTGTATTAACGATACACATTGTTTAATCCTTCACCTCAAACTGATCTTTTATTGTTTTTCCTACTAAGATAGTACATAGCGTCCGGATCTGGTTTTCCATAAAATACAATGATTTCTTAATCACTATACTACTCGAGGAGTTGGTAACTACAAAGATTTGAAGAAGATACTTTGTCTTATCGCCTTGATCATAGGTGCTGTTTCTATATCACTACCCTTTTGATTTCAACATTAGTTTGGAAAAAATAAGTTGACACGAAATCTAGTTTTTCAAGAGTTCCAACACAAGCGTAGCAACTGCATGCATAAACCATATGGTGGGAACATCATCACGTTCTCATTGACGAAATCCCGTTCAGTTGCTTTAACACTTTCGCAATGAATAACACCGTTAGGTATCATCATGGTTCCTCCTCCCAGTGGTTTAGTTTGGTGAACAGAAGTTTTCTCCTAAACTTCTTATAATCAATCGGTAACTCATCCAATGCAGATGCCATGGCGGGCGTCGTCCATAGGAGGATATCCTACTAGTAATTTCTCATAATTAATTATCATTAATTACTCATAATTCATAAAAAACTTTTCTTGACGAGAGACCATTGGTATTGAAGAGAGTGTGGGCAGCGAAGAGGCGCTACCTTTGCACGGGGTTCCGCCATTTGGGGAGAGCTTTTCGAAGGATAAGGTGATGAGTCATCGAGAATACTTCTTCAGAGTGGGTAGATGTTCGCATAGTATGCATTCATCGGTATGTTTCAACGAAATTTGTCTTTATAAGCAGCTATGAAGTCTTCTTGCTACGACCATAGCTAGTATGTTGAGAATTGATTCCAAAAGCATTTGGTGTACAATCTGCAGTTTGTAACGTATATATGTATGTATGCAATTTTGAAATAATACATACAAATGTCATTCTTTACATATTAGCTTCAATGCTTACAGTGGGTGTTTTCTCGTATTTGATACAGGAATGCGAAGCGTCTTCTATAAATCTGTAGTTGTCCCAACTCATGAAGCTCACTAATAATCGAAAAATTGTGAAGAGTTATCGAAGAACTGAAATCACAAGCAGTGTTCAGCTTCATTTTTTGGACTCAATTCGTTGGTTTCCAATTTTTAGTCGCTGTCGTGACTTTTGGGTATAGTATGGAATATGGAAGAATATCAAAGCCACAAGGTAAACATTGTAATATTCTTTGCAAAATTTCTACAACTTCAGTAAGTGTTGACAATTGCTTAATCGCATAGTATACGAGTATTTTTTCTTTATTGACAAGAGTTACACATTCCCCAAAAACATGAGTGGGTGTATAGATGAGCATGGACATACAGAGAATAGTAAGAGCGTAGGAATTCCTTGAAAATGGAGAAGAAAACCGAATTCTAAGAGAGAAATTACGATAGAAGAAGGTAGGACTATATGCCTGAGTGGCCGGTGTGACATCCATAGGTGTCACAGGTCACAGTGAGCGCAGCGAAAATTTAGGTGTTGTCCACTGTGCAACACAACCCGAGATTAGGCGTCGTCGCGAAAGTGTCAACGTTCGAAATAGCGGCCTTGGTGTAAAAAAAAAGTGGGGAAAATACGTGTTCTAAGCGTCAGAAATCAGAATTCCATTCTAACCCATAACGCGCCGTGCAGACACAGTACTGTCCATAGTGAACGGGAATAAGCGACCATATGGACACTATAGTGTCCATTCTTACTTTAATGGGTCATTCTCCACATTCAGTGATTTAGAAGAACACTCTTTTCGAAAAAGTTTATTAACCACTAATTTGACTATCAGTTAACTGTTATTTCATTCTACTCGCTGTAGTCACAATGTGGGATGTGTGGCTATAAAAACACCGAAATGGACTTAAGAGTACTTCGAAATGCTGACAACAATGCATTTGCATAGTGAGCCATAGTAAGAGACAGTAAATAGTGGCATGCATATCATTCGTACCTATAGAACGATAGAGCAAAGTCTCTTCTACAATTTTGCAGTGTTCACAACGTCTAAAGCACTTGTTAAAAGATTATTTATTGTTATTAAGAAACCAGGAACTCCGCAGCCGGTGAAAAATTGCTCGTAATCGGTTGGGCCGACGAGGAAACACGGTAACGGGGGATTATGCGTTAACAGAGTAGCATAGCTTCCATCATGTAGGCGGAGATCTTAGACTGTAATAGTTTTCTTTACAAATAATGAAGTTTGATATAAGCCGGGATATGTTGGTTGGAGTTGGAGGCAGCCGTTATTTTTGCATCGAGTGTGTTGTATCTATTGCCCCTTGGGCCTCTTTGTTTACCACTGATCAGTACATTACGACAACGCAAGTGTTTGCTGTTCGATTATCACCGTGCTTCTCTGTAAATTACCATTTTCTTGACCTGACACGAGGTTGTTGATATAAATATTATAGTTAGCTGTAGGTTCGTTAGGGACTCTCTTGGATAGTTTTAAAGACCATGAGTTTTCTAACGAAGTTTAAAAATTTTTAAAAAAACTACGAAATATGAGTACGTGAAGAAATTCTTAGTGGTGACTACGGTATTTGGGGCTGATCTTTCCTTTGCCCATACACTTTGAATATCCTTCCTTTTCACTAGTGACTTCCGTTTTTGGATAACTGTTTTTCTTATTTCTACGATTATTGTTGTGTGTCTTTTTTCTAGGTTTACTGATGTCTACAGAAATGATATTATTAAATATCCTGGCTTTGAAGATCCTGGCTAATTGTGGTACTAGCGCATCATTCAGGAACGTTATTCAAAGTGTGTGGGCTGCGATGATGCAACTGCGCGTTAGATTGTTGGGAAATTAATGTCCGATTTACAATTTCGTTTTTCCACTCCATGTTTTAGCACGATTGTAATATAAATTTAATTTTTGAAAAACTTCAAAAGTTAGAATTTTAAAAGTCGAAACAGAAACTTCGACAAACCTATTTCTACGAATCGTTAATAAGGCATGGGCCAGGGAATTGCTAACGAACGCAGAGTGCAACATTTATTTGGAAAATTTCCTTAGTTCGACTTTGAAGATGAGATAGTTTTGCGACGTTCTTCTGTTGTTTATAACGATGAATTGAAGGCTTTCTCGTAAGGAAATACCCTCACAGCTGTTTGAGAACTTGCTGAAGATGGAGCACCTAAAATATTTGAGAGCGGAACAACCTTTGCAAAAGAATGCCTTGCGAATTGAGAATGGCCATCGAATTTGCGCAATCAAAACAGTGCTGTTTCTTGAACATATTGTGATGTGCGACGACAAATGGATCCCATGCGAAAACATGAGCGATCGAGCCGTTGTTAGAACCGCGATGAAGCTCCGCAGCACTTTCCAAAGCCGAAATTGCGCGAAAGCAAGTTCACCATAACCGTTTGGTGATTTTTTGAATTGTTGCTGATTTAACCTATCTCATCTTCCTGAATCGGGATGAAACGATCACATGGAAGAAGTACATACATCAAGTTGATGAAATGTACCAGGGACTTCAACGCCTATGACTTGCATTGGTCACCAGAGAGGCACCAGTTGATATCAATTCTTGCCCTCGTTGCTAGATTTGCGATTTCATAGGATTTTTTATACTTTCGCAAGGGAAAACGACATTCCTGTGCAAGAATGTGTAGTTCAACAATGTCAAGTTGACACAGCTTTCTATACGTGAAGTGCATAATTCGATCATAAACTTCAACTTGATTCTAAGTGGACTGTACCAGTACAAAAAATTCACCCCTTGTGAAGTTGATATGGCTTTCTGAACATGCACCTAATTCTCATTGCTTGTGAAGAAATACCTGTTCAAGCAGCGCGTTCCATTATCGATTGCCTTGTCGATGTTGTCGATCAAATGAAACCTTCTGCCATAATTAGAATCATCAATTCAACAGAATCAACAAAATGTCATTGTAAATGCTTAAAATTGAGCAAGAACCAGTACCAGTAGTAGCATATTTGTCTAAGTTTTGCTTCTAAATGTTTAGGCAGATTTATAATTGGTTATTCGATCTAACCTTTTCATACTGCAAGCTAGCTATGAATAGTCTTACTCCGGAAATCGCATCTATGGTATGGTAAACTTAGTCACAGGCTGGTCAAATACCATCCTGTCCCATAAGACCGACGGCTGCCTGGTGTGGTGACTTGGGAACGTTCTAGCATCTTTTGAGACTCCGAGTAGAAATTTCCCTCAGCCAGCGAAACATCCGTGCAATGGAGGTGTCGTGCCGGTGAACAAAAAGCTCTAAGTAGAATTGAATAATGCCCGTGCCATATGCTACGTGTTCTCGTGTCCCGATGCGTTAACTTTTTCCTGTTTGTCACGAATTGTCTTTCGCCTTGAAAATTTTGCGTTTTCGGTATTTTAGTTTATCAGTAGCAACTTGTGTTCTGTCTAACACCGATGGTTTTTGAAAACGGATCCTTTCTCATTTATAAGGTTTAGCGTTTAGAGTGTCATGGATGTCGTAGTTTAACTTTTCGTCAGCGTAGACTCTTCAATAAATCTGTAACTTCCGGAATTTGCTTAGGCATTGACTGAGTTTTTCTCAGAAGTAAGAAATGTAAAAGAATAATAGCGTAACCGTACATCTACTATCATGTTGTTCACGGTTTCTCACTGCACTGTATGACTTGCGTGTGATATAAAGTAATTCAACATTTTACCTTTTTTCTGCAAATCTCACCTTTTTGTGAATCTTAAAACCAGAATAACCTATAGGTCTCTACCAATCAGAATCGCTTTTTTCAGATGAATATCTGATTTTAGGTACTCAAAAAAGGATTTTCCCTGTTTTGTCGGGTCTCATGTTTTAAACACTGATGCGAATGAAATAGCGGGATTTCAAAAGATCCACTTTCTATAAACCTTGGCAGAATTGTCGATATATCTACATATATGTTCTTACGAACTACCCTTGTTCACCTGACGCGAGGTTGGTATAGATGTTCTTATTATTGTCGCTGTCCGATGGTTGACGTCTGGGGGAATTCGTCTTCCTCAGAACCTGGACGTACCATGTGTAACAGTAGCTCCACAATTCGAGATAACAGCACGGTGGGTCGTTTTTGGAAAATTAGAGTTTATTCATATGCTGGGCGTTCATTAATACTGTGAATTTCACCATCAAAATGAATAAACTCCATTTTTCCAAAAACTACCTACCGTGCTGTAATCCCAAATTGTGGGGCTACTGTTACATATGGTACTTCTAGGCTCTGAGGAAGGCGAATTGGCCGAAACGTCAGCGATCGACCGACAGCAACAATAAGAACACCTGTGCCAACCTCGCATCAGCTAAACAAAGGCAATTCGTAAGAACGTTTATATAAGGTAGGATTTCGTGCAGTAAATCAGGAATTTTTCCTAGAAGGTTTGGATGATATGGTTGGTTTTCGTGGAAGGAGGTATATCAGCACATGTACGGGTATCTCTCTGGTTATTAGTTTTTCGATAACTAGAGTATTAGCGTTCCTACGAATATGACAAGCCTTTAAAAAGTTTTGCCCTACTACCTACATTTTTTTTCAAACCAAAACGCTGTTTTTTTTTTCCAAATTTGTTTAAAATGTGAGTTGTTAAAGTATTTCGAAGCAGTGTCAAGTTTTCAAGACTTTTAACGCAACTGATGCAAATGCAAGCATCAACTATGCATTTGCACATCATAATTTCGTTCTGGGTAGGACAGCTCTTGGTGAATCGCTTTCTTATTTGAAATAAGAACTTAGACGAAAAGAAGACGAAGATGACCATATTTGTAAACCTTGAAAAGTCACATTGATTTACGGTAAAGAAAAGTAGTACCTTATTGACAACGGGTCTAATAGCTCTTATTACAATTTATAGGAGATTCGTGATGATGTGGGATATGTTGGTTTAAAGTTAGGAGACTAAATTTTTTTCGAGCACATGTTTATTTAAATTAGACGCATTATCACAAATCTGTCAAATAACACTAGCATAATTCAGGAACACATATTAATCAAGTCCGACATGAAGGCCTTGTCGAAAATGTCGATGAAGGTGGAAAGACTGATGCGGATGGACCTGTTTTTTTCGGTGATGCAGACAACGGATATTGTTTCTCGCTCACATTTAGGTACTAACTGACTATTAGGTTTTTCTTGGTTGTTTTATTTTAAGTTACACCGAAATTTTTACAGGTTACGGGATTCAAAAGCTCGTGGTTTCCTTCGACTTTATTCGTTCATCGTGGTTAGCAACGACATGACATATATAATTAATAATTATGAGTTCTTTCTACAAGCGCTCACAGCAGTGAAGGAAAAGCTGCAAGTTTGTTTTCGGTGATGTTAGACATCGTGCTGTCATTCTGTTTGTTCTTGTAACTTTTCCATTTAACCCTGATTTAAGCTCTTAATTGTCGATTATCTTTAAGGGTATGGCGTCAGCCACATTTGAAAGCGAGCTGACACAAGATGATGTGATGCGACCTCATTATGCTAGCATGGCTGGTCGGCTACCAAGTGGCTGGTTCAGACCTAATGATAGAAATGTGCGTTTCACTTGCTTCTGCATTAGTTCTCTCTAATGTTTTCATGGTTTACAGCTTATACTATTGCTAATGTATTCACTTTCTTACTTACTGTCTATTCTTTTTCATGGCGGGATATACTGTGAAATATAACTACGATGATGCTGAGATATTTGCAAAACTCCAGACCCCAGGTGTCTGTGATGGAGACCGAACACGTTATTACCATTTTCGAGGGCCAACGCGTTCACTACCACACCATGCCGCTTCGCCTTTCTCTCACGGATAATTGCTGATGGCACTGGTAGATTGGATACTAGTTGGACGAAACGAAGGATCTGCATGGTATGTTGGTGAACGTACTAACTCCCGGAAAGAGTAATTGTGCGTTCGTTCCTCACCGCAAACATCTGCGGTCCGAAATTTTGCAAGTATCTCAGCATTATTGTAACTGTTACCAATCTCACTTTTATTTATTATAATCGTTTTTGTTCGTTTCTTACTCAAGTCTAAAGATGTGTTACTAGTTATTCTTACATCAAACTTTTGGTCTTTCTTTCTGTTTCATTTTGGAGTAGTGTAGGATAAATTGATCCAACAAATTCTATTCATCAATCTACTATTAGAGCTTGTTAAGTGACTTCTGCTTATTACTTGTCTTGTTCATAGTCTTGCATAATGTACCATTTTTCAGGGAAGACGGGTTGCCATAGACACTAAGAGGAATCTTCAAACGATTACTGGTGATGAGCTTATTTGGAACATGTTACATAGGTTGGTTTGTTTATCGAACGATTTTTGCAGGTATTTTAAAGTGAGGGTTCTTTTCTTAACAGCTGGGTTTTAGACGTGCTTTAGCTGTGATTATAACACAGTGGTATTGGCATTGTACTTCACGGTCTTCAAATTTAGAACCGAATATCAGTACTTTAAGATTACATGATTTGAGAAATGTTTCTGATGTTAGTTTAATGTTTTAAATGTCAAGAATTTAGGGCACTTGACATTAAACGTTCTTCAAATTTCGTAAGCTTAGAAATCTTTAGTTATAACGTACTAAGACAATTGCAGTAAATCATTTGTTCCGCCCATGTGACCAACATATCGTGTTTTGGTTCGTGGCTGATTTTCATAGTGGTGTTCATTGAGGTGTTTCTTCTGTTTTGGACTTTTTACTTACGATCGTAAAGCCATTGGAATTAGATCGTTTAGTCCTTTCGCCTCATCTTAGTAATACGGTACTTGTTCAGTGTTGCCTTTTCAGCTGACCAATATCTGGTCCAACTGGTTCCATTTTTGCATTTCTGAGTATCAATCGAACATTGCAGCTTTCGCCGAGGACGTTTATATTTTACAGCGAAAATAAATGAGTCCATCATCCGCGTCTTCTTTATAACATATAGACTTGTTCTTGCATCGGAGTTTTGTCTAACACATTGCCGAAGGACCGCGTAGGCAGTACGCGTTGATTTTAACGCAATTTTTCCGGTTATTCTGTCGCATGATGTTTTCTTTGCTATATTTTTTACATATAGTTTTAAGCTTCCTCAAAAATGCTTTTCTACCGTGAGTTGTTTGACAGAACTATATTGTGCACAACGATTGTTTTTTTGTACAGCGTAATACAGGGACTGTTATGAAAATTCCAAGGCCGATTTTCTTTCTTTTAATCTCGGCATCGATCAGCAGCTCATTGTTTTTCTTGATGAACAAACACGAGATTGTTATTAGAGCATTTACTAATACAGGGTAGCTGATGTTTCGGCGGTTTCTCCTTCTTTAGAGCCTGGAAGGGTTAAACTGGCACACAATCTACTCGCCCAAACACTTTCGTAACCTCAGAAAACAAACCTCGGTACATAAGTTTTCATTCTCATGACAAACATTTTTTTAAACACTCACCGTTTTGTTATGACTTCTAGTTATTTGGTTTTTGTCAAGGATATAAAGATAAAAATATTTCTTTTAACGTTGCTAGATATTAAGTTTTGTTTGCTAAGGTTATGAAAATGAAAGTCTTCGGGTGAGTAGGTTGCGTGTCAGTTTGACCTTTCCATGCTCTGAACACGAAACGGCTGAGACGGCAGAAACGTCCGAAGCGTTAGCTATTGTGTATTAATACTTGATACTTGAACGGCCCGTCCTCACTAGTTGTGCGGGCCTCAGCATAATCACCATTCTTCGGAGATTTACTGGTTTAGCCATTGTGGTTCCCTGGAATCTCGAGGACAGTCTGGCCAAAGTCTGCCCCAGGTCGTGCTGGTTAAGCCATTGTGCTTTACTGGAGTCCTGAGATCAACCTGATCAAAGTTTGCCCCAGTTCGTCACCGCGACAGGCAGTCGCAGCACTTGTGGATCAGAGGGAGGTTTACCACCATGCGACTTTGATAACAGGACGGTGGTAGATTCTGGTACTGGTTTACTCTTAGCTAAGCTTTTTGCTTATCAGGAAAAACAGTGAACAGTTATAAAAATTAGTGACCGAGTACACTGTGTGCATTTTATGTATATACAATAGATTGAGAGTTGCATAGGCACCCTGCAGTAAACATGAGATCGATCCCCGCGCCCAAGGCTCCCTAAGCCTTCCATCTATGCGGGGTCAGCAAATTGGTACCAGATTTGTCTGGGAGGATAGCAGCACTAGCTGAATACATCGGTAGAGAACTGTGAATCATTGTAAAGATCAGATATGCATTTAGTCACCTCCATCGATGCTTAGTGAAGTCGAGTGCATGGCGCATCCCTCAGGTCAGCGAGAGCTTTAACCTTTTTCAATAGATTATATGCGTTGAGATCATTACACACTGCACACGACGAAAGGTTTAACGTAATCCTAATTAGCCACAAAAAATAAATCTAACTAGGTGTGATGTCATTTCGAGTCTCTCCCAACGGTTTATCGCCTCATCGTGGCTGGGTGTTCAAGGGTGTCGGGTGGCGATGAACAGTGGTGGATTCATTCCCCGGCATGGTCTTCCAAGGTGAGAAGGAGTCAAACGCTTCCATAAGGGAGCTGACTAAGAGTAGACGATAGCAGGATCCATCACCGTCCTGATATCAAACTAGCATGGTGGTAAATCTCCCTCTGATTCACAAAGGCGGCGACTGCCTGTCGCGGTGACGAACTGGGGCAGACTTTGACCAGGTTGATCTCAGGACTCCAGTGAAGCGCAATGGCTTAACCAGCAAAACTCAGAAAAACGGCTAGTTTGCAGGACCCGCACAACAGGTGATGATGGACCGTCCAAGTGTCGAAGTAAGTAACACTTCAAGTCGGACACCTAATTTCGCAGAGCTCCCGCATCTAATGAATGCCTAATTTCTCGTTGCGCGCTATTCGAGTTGAAGTCAACTCATGGCAGACGGTATGACTGCCCTATTTGCTGGTCATACATATCATTATCATCGTCTTGATTCACAGATGTCGTTTTTGCCATCTACCGCCACGGGAAGAATGTGTAAAGGCCAGCAGAGTGATGAGGAAATCGCAGAAGGGGAGGGTTTTTTTTCGCATAGAGTTGTCGTTCAAATGTTAAATGTGAAATGTTGGCAGTTTATTGTGATTCCTATTTTATAAAATAGTTATAATTGCGTTGATGTGAGACACTACGCTAGGTGAATTTCTTTGAAAAGTGGATTCAGAGAACGAATTCGTTACCTATGATGCGCCAGTTTGACAAATATCTTACGTATAGATTCAGACATGTTCATAGGTGCGTACGCGGATTTGTTTTTTGTGGATTCAGTCATTCATTTAAATTCGGCCAGAAGCCTATAAGCGAATGACTGAGAAGTTGCTCGGGATCCATTCCTATGAATTTCACCAAGTATCGTGGAGCTGATTGAATTCATACCTGCAATTACTTGCAGTGGCCTATCGATGTATTAAGTTAGTGTCTTAAGAACAAACTTTCATTAGAGCTAGTCAGGAATAACCAATACGTTTCCAGATAATAGAGCTAGGACGAGCTTGGTAATATGTTTTATTCGACAAACGTTTCGATTTCTTCACCTTCAGAACCGGATTGCTCCAAGTCGATGCTCCACAGCTGGTCGCTGTTACTATGTGGGTTGTTCGTTGTCGCATCGAGTCGAATCGAGTGAAGTGGAGCACCGCTGGAATGAAGAACTTCGACCAGCAATGCCATTTTATACAGGATAGATGCTGATCTAGTGCCACCGTTCAAAGTCTAGTCTTCTCGTGGCGATGACCATCGACTCAAACCAATACGCCTCTTAAGAAGATGAAGACGTCTTATCGTTAGCCGAATAAATCTTATTGTACTATCCTCATGTTGGCTCAATAATCTAGAAGCATATTGATTATTCTTATAGATATTTAATGAAAATTGGTTTTTAAGACACTGATTTGACACATCCATCGGCCCCACCACAAATAAATGCAGGTACGAATTCAATCATCTCTACGATACTTGGTGAAGTGGAATCCGTGGCCCATCCCTCATCAATGCCAAACGCTTTTTATCGTATTAAACTTAGGGATTGATGGGTATCGAAAGCTATACGTTCATCATCTTGAACCCAGAGCGAATTTTTTGTCTGTACGTTGTATTGAAACTTCTACAAGCTTTCTCGTTAAGTCGAGTATGACTTGGTTGCATTCGGACTCTGCTTTGGTGTTCACCGAGGAAAATACCATAAACATCCGGGAATCGCCGTGGTACCTATCGACTATACTGTCTCCGAACGGTTATCCGGAATTGTTAATTACCTTCGTTATACAAACATTCCGATGCCATCGTATTCTTAAAAATATGGGAAGCAAAAAAAAAACTTAAGAAGGCACTGAATTACGGCTGTCCATTTTATTCCACAGAGGTTACAACGGATTACAGTAGGGATCGTGCAATATTTCAGAATCAGACAATATGTACCATCTACCATTTGACTTATAGATGGAAATCAGGCAATAAATTTGCTGGGATTGGTAGGTTCGCTGATTTAGCATCCTACCATGCCACTTAATTGATGCTGGATCGAATTACCCAGCCATTGTTGTTGTTAGCAGATTCTCCTTTTAGATCGATTTCTAGATTCTCGACCGCAAAACTCACGTGTTCTTACGCAATATCACTTAGTAGGGTCCTCACTCCATGTCTAGCATACGTGGAACCTCATGGAAGGTTAGTAACTCATTTTATTTAATAGAGCTCTAGAATTTGTTTTCTTCTGCGATTCGTGGCGCTTCAGACTGCGCGTTTGTACTTTTGATCTCCTAATTTTCCGACAATTAGTTGAAGCTTCGCCCCACATGACCTGGCCGCGTTGTAAATTCAGCGGTTGCGCTAATTCATGCATCAGCAACAGTCCCTATTGTCTGTGCCACAAATTTCACTACGACACTACATTTTCCCTTCTTTTTGTAATTTTTAATCATGAGATGCTACATGATGTTATCATAAGTCTGTGCAATAAGAATATTTCCTCATCAAAGGTGGAGTATGAAACGTGTTTTCAATCATTCGACGTTGGTGTGTAGTGGTATTGAGAGTCAATTATTAGGTTGTTCAGAAATAAATGAGCGGTTTTGACTGTATTATTTAAAATGTCATAACCTGTTCCAAACAAAATAACGAGGTACGAGGAATGTTTTATTAGTAAGGAATACATTTAAACAGTAATTGTTTTAAAACGCCCATTTGCTTCTGAGGAGCGTAATAGTTTCTGAGTTACTTTTTTTTCCAGATAATATTAGGATTTGTGTAGAAGTTGTTTGAGTTGTTTGTTGTAGGTGTTCCACTAAGATGCAAAGGTGGTTAAATGTCAGTTCACACAGGAAGCCGTTCCCGTTCTTTTCTTTTGGTGTTTGGAAAGTAGCAGTTCATAGAGCGCTTTATTTCTTCATAGGTCTCGCACTTATGGAACACCCAATGACTTTTTCCCTATCATGCTGAATAATTTTTGCGACATGGAAGTTTAGAGGGTGCACAAGCTTGCTGGCTGTCCTGTTTAATAAGTGCTGTCCACCGTGACGTCTTAATGATGTTTTTTTAAACTCATATGTGATATTACGTGTTTTAACTTCACCCAAGCATACCCAAGTTAGTGGACATTGTTTGGAACCAAAATCGTTCGAGTCTACAGTTTCTCATATCAGAACGACGAAATTCCAACCTTCTGGAGTTCGCTAAACGTGTTTTCCGACTTTTTTTTCCTCCGAAGCTTATTTTTTAACGCTAAAACGGTTGAACAAACGGTATTCCGTTCTGCTGGACAGTGTTTCTTTCGTAGTGCTTGAAATCTTGTTGATGTCTGCGGCTTTCATGCGTGCAATGTAAAATTTCAAGACATCGAATCTCATTTGCAATATTGGGAAGTCCTGATTTTAAACAAAGCCAAAAAGATTTTATGTAAAACGTACATATGTCAGTAAAAAGAGAGAAAGAGTCTTTCCTATAATTCTAGGAAGTTTTCAAGTCCTCCACTTCCCTTCTAATCAAGCACAGCACGGACGCGAATAGCGTTGTACTCGTATGCAGCGCACTTTTATGATTTTTGATGTTTTCCCCGCTTGTCGGAAGGTAGCGAAAACGAATGTGAGCTGTTTTGAAATAATTTTCTGTGTGCAACGATTCTGTTTGCTTGGCATTAATTTGTTCATTCTCATTATGTTTAAAGAAATTTTTTATTTGCTATTTCACGCATTAGGGGAGGATAGCACAGTAATATTGATGTCCGTTATTACGAGCATGGTGCTAATTCGATTCCGCCCCGGGCCAACCAAGCCTTTCATCCCTCTGGGGTCAGGTAATTGGTACCCGACTTGTCTGGAAAAAAATCACTCTACGATCCAAATAGGAGCGCTCCAGCCCGGCTATCTCAGGACTCCAGGGAAAATTGCTCGACCAGCATCCTATGATATTCAAGATGAAATGAAAACCTTCAAGCAGCAGCCGAAGCCACACGTAAAAGTTGGAAGATTTTTGTGGATGATGGATGTGAGGAAAAGAATCGAATGTGGGAAGTACTGGGATCCGCACAGTAGGTGTGAAGACGAGTCATATAAAATGAAATGGAAGTGAAAAAAATTCTACATTTGCTTCCATTCATAAATAGTTTCAAAATTCGTTTCCATGTATGAATTTATGAATTTGGGAATGGAATCTGAGTACAGTCCTTACGACAGAAATAAAATATCCTCTTAATGTGCTCGAGTTTCAGTTCTTAAGTTAGGATTTTCAACAGTTTTCAACTGTGGCTAGTTATTTCTGGAGGTTTTATTTAAAATCCGAAAATACTGTTGAGATGGACAACTTTATCCTTTGTCTTAACGGCGGCGTATTGTTTGTTTGTAGCAGTTTCGTAAGTATCGTTTCGTTTTGCTTGTTTTGCTGGTGCATATTGTACACTTAGTAGATATTTAAGTGCTCCGTCCTGACGTGACATTCGTGTTCCAGCGCTTCCCCATTCGTTTCGTTCCCTTCCAGCCGTCACATACACTTATGTTGTCTGTTCCACAAGTCGTGTTTAAGCTGTGTTCTTTTGACCGAGATGAATGACACGAGAGTGAAAGTTCCTCAGCACTTCCTAGTTTCTAAGATTATTACGAACAGATTTGTCTTATCTGACAGTCAGATTCACCAACGACCATTATCACACCTGTTCAGTGGAATCGAAAAGTCTCGTCTTCGAGCCTTGTATGCTGTAGAAGTATCGCATTACTCCCAAGGCATAGAGATGATGGATTTTTGAATTGTAGTGCGGACAAGTGTTTGGTATTGGAAGTGAGCGGCCGTGAATCAATAGGAGAATAGACAGGATGTCATTTCTAATGCACATAACGGCTTAAATTTCTTTTAAAAAGTCGAGAGCATCTAAGTTTTATACATATTACTGACACATATTTTCAAGACACATGTCTGCTTTCTGCATTTCTTATTTTGTGATTACTTTTTTTCCGTACTTTTTTGTTTACATAGCCCGTTAGCACGTATTGTGCGGATACTCCTGCACGTCTTTTATTCGATTCGCTTTCTCTCAGCCGTCACCACGAACTTTTTCGGATTTTCATGTGATTCAAGCTGTTGCTTGATAAATTGGTTTCCTTCATGAATAGCCTTGAACGCTGCTCGAGTAGATTCTGTCTGGAATCCAGGGATAGTTGTACCAGGGCTTTTTAGGTCATCGCATTGGTGGCCGGCCTTTGTAGACAGAGAGAGTTTTTCCCAGACAAATCTGGTACGAATTCCCTGGCTTAAGAAAGATTGGAGACTTTGTTGCCCGCGTCGAAGTTAAACCACTAACTGTGCAAGCATTATTGGAAGTCACCTTTTAACCATTGTGTTTCTGCCACCACACCATTGCCATCATTTACAGTATTAGAAATGCACTATTATTTTCAAGCACTGCAGTATTTTTCCGTAGTTATAGTAAATGGAATGGGAGAACTGAGCTTGACTAATTTTGACTAGTTTGTTGATGAGGTCTTGTGCTTCCGAACTGAGTATGAAAAGATATTAAGTTAATTTTTCATGGATAGATGAGGATTGTATTGGGTTATAAGGTGCATGAATTTCCATGTGCAGCATATGCTGTTCTTGGTACATACGCTTTGGATTGAACAACATTGTCGTTTCTTGGTGGTGAGTAGGCGTTCGTCTATCACCTTAAAGGATAAAGGATAAAGCTCTCGATGTTGATCAATCCCTGAAGGATGCGCTGTGCATTCCACTTCATGAAGCATCGTTGGAGATGATCGAATGCATTTTTGACCTTTAAAATGACTCGCGATGGCCTATCGATGTATCGAGTCAATGCTGCTATTCTCCTAGAGAAGAATTCTACCAATTTTTCGACACCGGAGAGATGGAAAGCTTAGTGGGCCTGAGATGCTGAGGTCGATCCCATGTGTGTTACAGCGCTCCTCCAACCACTGCGCCACACGCGCCTTGGGGTTACCCTGTAATCAGTATGCATTAATCATTATCTTAATTTAACAACACAAAAGCCTTTAGATTTTCAGCATTTCGTTCTAGGTCTCATTTTTGTATTTGCTGTAAATTCGACTCGAACCCTTTCGTCACTTGGTTTAATACGACGTGATTTGGTTTCTCAACAAGATGTTTTATTTTTATGGGAAATTCAGATTCAACCACTGATAGCAATTGTTTGCTCGTTTTTTCCTAGATTATGCTGAGATTTTGTCGTTTGAATTGCTGGGATACAATATTTCGTTCGCACACGAATCAAGTATAATTACCTCTTCTGTCCTCCAAATAGAGGGTTACTGTGCGACAGGTTGCGCTGTTTACCTCACATCTGAGTATCGTTGTTCGCAAATTCCTATGTTCCTGTTTCTAGGATTGGACCTGGGAATGTTGAAAGCTCAAAACAGTTGGCTGTATTTATGAAAAAGTAAGTCATTCTCTTAAGTACATGACAATTTCAGGGTGTACATAATACAAATGTGATGATTTTCTTCCTACGTTAGGATTTTCTTAAGCTCTTTAATACGAGGGAAAAACGTTGGTCGGTTGATAGCTACATTTGAGACCTAAAGACTTGCCAGTGTTTTGCATAATTTTTAGCGATCTTTTGTTGCTAGCAATCGAAGGCGGTTTTTGCTCTGCAATAAAGCCTGAAGACAATGTAGATTGTAGAATTATTGCTTACCTACTTATTACCTACTTAATTAAGTATCTACTGGTCAAGTCATAAATGGGTCACGTAGGCTCATGTCGAGCAATAAGACTCTGTTTTGCCTTTGTTATACATCTAGGTTTCTGTCGACATTATTGCTAGTGCTTAGCGAGTTCTGTAACTCCAGAAGGCATTTCTTAATCAGTGTCTTCACGAATTGAGGGTTTAGGTGTCGTGAGAATAACCTATAATGCTATAAAATTAAAGACGGCTATTTTATCTCTTTTCTATTAATGAGTGTTGAAAACGATTATGATAAACTGAGTATAGACAAATGTGTTTTGAACCGGTAAACCTTCGAAAATTTCACACCATTTGGAAGGGTTTTCATTGTTGAATGTGAAGCTGCATTTTGAAATTGATTGGTGCTTTCATAATATTACTATCGGCAGTCTAAGTTTTTGGAGGCACAAGTATTTTTCAGGTTTTAGAAATGCCTTCGTTGTTTGCTAAGGCAATCTTTGACGCTAGCTTTCTCATTAGAGCGCATATTTCTTTTCACACTGTTTCGCTTCAGTATACTTTTTCGTTGTTTATTCGGTTGCTGATTGGCGAACGAAGAGATTTTCATTACATTGTTCAGTCGAGCATTTTATCTTCTTTCTCTTTTCCGTCTCGATTGCGTGAATTGCTTCCAGATGGCGCGGCGCCTTTTGAAAGCGTGCTGCGACTATCGGAGGAGCAACTTTGCCGTCACCGTACACATATTCCCCAGGTTACTTAGGTAGAATTTAAAAGGGACGCAATTTAGATACATAAAAACCATCAAATCTAGTCTAAGAATGCGTAAAATTTCTGAATTGTAAGGGTTACTATTCACCACCGTGTACGTGAGTTTCAATATAAGTGTAATCATGGCCACTCTCAATTTTGAACCAACATATGGCATCTCATGACGGATTTTATTAATTGATATGATTACCAATAGATTTTGCAAGTTTACGCCAACTGGATAAAAACTTTGCTATTCTACTATGGTGAAATTTTGATATTCTGGAGGTGACAAGACTTATTTCTTCGCTTTTCTTTGTTGAAAATGTATGTGCATACTATTGGTGGTGAAACAAATTTTCTTCTATCAGTTTCTGGTATTCTAAATTTCTTAACTATACTAATGATTGACAAGTTATTATAAACCAGAACGGTTGCGGATAGGTTGAGAAAAATTGTAGAAATTGTGAAGAGTTCACGGAAACTCTCCACGTCTGTTAATTTCTTGGTTTCACACTATGTTTGAAATAAATCTCTGCCAAAAATTCTACAGGTGGTTGTATAACAGGTTTACCGTTTTATTGAGAGCAACTATTATTGGTCTGTGGTACGACGACGGACGGGGTGGTGATCGGTGGTTTACTTGCCAGGCCGACAATGCCTTGTAGAGCGGCGAACAAACTATGTAGTGGTCGCTTTAAAAGTGTGATTAGTGAATAAAATGTGTAAAATTTTGTGGAGTAGGCTTTAATGTATTTGAGTGCAGTGATTGTAAAAATAGCTTCTGACACTCCTCTGTGTCAAAACATTTGGACTTTTGTGCAACATCATAGGACAACCTCTGGATAGGTTGGATCAGGATTTTAGTCCAATCAATCGGCGAGTAATTCTATGAAGGATAATACGTGGTATACCACCTGTTTAGTGTTCTCACGGATTACATCGGTACTTTGCCGCTATATATATATATATATATATATATATATATATATACATGTAATATTTATCTAACGAAATCTCCTCAAGCAGGAACCGAGGCAACACTTGAAATGTACAATGACCTTTGTGGGCGATGAATGCGAAGAAAACCAGTCGATTGCAAGTAATGCTGAGATCCGCACAGTAGAGGTGGTGATGGGTTATGTTGAATGTATATATGTATATATATATATACATATATATGTATATGTATATATATATATGTATACATATATGTTTCCATCAGGAAGCTTAGCTAAGAGTAAACCAATACCAGGATTCACCACCATCCTAGTATCAAAGTCCTATGGTGGTAAATCTCCCTGTGATCCACAAGGGCTGCGACTGCCTGTCGTGGTGACGACCTGGGGCAGACTTTGGCCAGGCTGATATCGGGACTCCAGGGAACCATAATGGCTTAGCCAGCAAATCTCCGAGAAATGGAGATTATGCTGGGGCCCACACAACCAGTGAGGACGGGCTATTCAAGTATCAGGTATCAAGTGTATATGTGTGTGTATATATATATTTATATATATATATATATGTATAATGGAAGCATTCGTTTTTTTTTCTTTCAAAAAACCATGTCGTGCTTCCTTTGAGAGTTGAACTAGTAGTTCATAGAATCGCAAGATTTTCAAAAATTTTCCAAGTATTTTTCACGTTCTTTGGAAGGGTCATGAACGTTTTTTTCGTGCTGCTTTATTTGGGCGATGGACGGGCACGTTGCTGGCTGAATTATGACCGCCGATGACCGGCTGCTGTCTTTAATTCCTCCAGTTCGCCACTAGCAGCGATTTATACACCCGAGATTGTTTACGGAATAACTTCCTTAGTTTCTTGCCTTTCTACTTTGCACATTTTTTTCTTGAATCAGAAAGGTATGAGCTGGGACTGAAAGGATTTCCCACACTGAGAAAAAGTGTATCCTGCTACTGTATATCGTTTCACATCTCTGTTAAAATCCTCAGAAACCGTTCAAAATTGTCTGAATTTGAGAAAATTTTTTGTCGTTTTGCCTTCTTGAGAAATTCTGCCACTGAACCCTCCATAAGTGTGGTCTACTAATGGTCCAACTTCATGTTATGATGATTGCGGAGAATCAGCTTGAAATCTCACTCAAATAATTTCGTTGCAGTTCCCAAGGAACTTATGTGGCTCGCATAAGTTTTCCCAATTTTATTTCCTGCGGTTTTAGTTCTAATTGCGATGTGTATCTAGCACGGGGAGCAGGTGCGCAGTGGAAGGACGACGACCTGTGAAGTGAGGCTCGGATCAACCGACCATTGTGTGTAGTATAGCATCGTATTGTCTGCGAAAAGCGTTTGCTAAGAGCGGAGATGCTCGGAAGCACAGATCACGCATCGGGCTTTAGTGAAAATCGATAATCTCCACCTGCAATTGTAACAGCTTAGTATTCAAACAGAGAAGGGCAGTTCAGTGTGTTATGAGCTCAGTAAGGTAAGAAACATACGGTTAACTTAAAAAGTTTTACAGTTGTAGAATCCAATAAGAAATTCAGAGCGAAACTGATTCTGACATCATTCTTATTCCTCTATACTGGATTGCTTTTTATATAAAAGTCTCATTAAAGGTAGTAGTTTATTTGATCTTACCTTACATTCAGTGTATGGAGTTAGTGTACAAATTTATTGATGCAAATGAAATAGATTCTTCTCGACACCTAAAATACCGCCCTTAGTTCACAGCATGATTCATAAATACGCTTGAATTAGACTGGAGAGGTTCAACTTAAATGATGAAGGGTTTCTGAATAAGCTAGCAATTTGAAGAGCTATGAGATACAAGTCGTTAGCTTGATGCAATTAAAGGTGATAGTTATTTACGTCATCTCGGATAGTCTTGTGTAGTGCTTTGCTTTGGGGACTAGCGGAATTGTTAGTGATAAAGTCCATCAGCAAGCAAGATGCTGGTTCGACCTACTTTTTAACACTCATCCAGTCCACCTGGGAACAACTTAGCTCGGCTGTCTTGAAAATTTTACGGAGAATCGACTCCACTGGTATTATACGGCACTCGTAAAGAAGCCGAAATCCACAAGCAGCAGCCAAAACAAAGCGCTAAACGTTCGAAAACCTTTGTGGACGATGACTGCGAGGAAAACAAATCGAATTCAGGAAGTGCTCAGATCCGCACAGTAGATGCGACGAAGGGTAACCTGATAATAATAATAGTGATGATAACAATAGTGGTGATATTAATAGGATTAATAATAATAATAATAATAAAATAATAATAATAATAATAGTATAATGTACTCAGTTCTGTCGGAATAAAATTGGAACTGAAGTAGTGTAGATGACGTAGACAGGACAGTTTTTTCTCCATTGAATTATAAAGTGGAAAAAAAAGAATTACCACGAATAGATCTCGCATGACTTGAGCGAAAAGAGAAAATCGTCATAATAAGTTATTTCTGCGTTTTCTCTTGAACCACAAATGACATGTTTCCTAACGTCGCTGTGATGTGGGACTAAGAATGGATGCAGAATAACAATAGAACAATAGACGCCGTTTTACGCAAGGTTGGTCAAAGGTCGAACACCAGAGCACCTTCTGAAGGGACGTTTTTGTCGGAGTTTTTGATGAACTTTTGGTGTTGTACCGATGAAGTCTTCTTTCCGTTGTAACATCTTTGTTTATGGAGAAACTATTACAGGAAATTGGCAAAGTCTACCAGGAACTCCAAAGTCTAGACGCAGTAGAATGTCCAAGCTTGTAATACGTTGATTAAACTGAAGCATGTTAGAACTGAGGAGTGACAACAAATTCCCTCATAACTTTTCAAATTATGTGACCAATAAGGAGTAACGCCACTGCAGTGCACTGCGTTACACATAACAACTAAGCTCTTCGTGTCACTCAGTTCATCACACTGATTTCGCGTTCTTATTTCATGGACAAACGCTCTTCCTAATTCACTCAACATCATCGTAGCGATCGCCAACAGCCGTATGAGGGTCGAATTTTCTACGATACGTTAGTGCGCGGTTACCAAAATTGTTATGAATGAGTGCTAAACATAGTCGTAAATATTTAGGTGCGTGGACAAGCTACTTCAATTCGCAGTTTTGCTCACTTATGTGCTCAGCGACGGCGATTTCCTACGCTCGCTCTCTGGTCCGCTGTTGCCGGGCGGAGCGCCTCCCACTGGCGAGCTCTGGTCGGTCTGTATTCCCCACTTGCCTGCCTCCTCGTTAGTTATGCGTGCTGCATCTCCTCGTCCTGCGTTTCCTTCTGAAATGTTCTCACAAATTCGTAATGCTAATCGCCACTACTTCTCCATTATCCATTTACGGATAGGTCGTTCAAGCTATTCATCTAGATTCATGTCTACCGTTTATTGGGCATCGGTCAAAAAATAGATCTAATTTTGATGTGAACATTTTCTTTTTTCTTACACTAACGGACTTTTTTAACCAACTAGCTTTTTCTAACTGGATGGATTGTCGAAGAGTTAGTTTGCAATCTTCATAGAGCAGTGTTAGATTGGTCTATGTTATCTCTGTGCTTAGCATATTCTCATGGCGTCTGAGATCGTGACTAGTATTCCTTAGCTGAGGGTCACAAAATGATATCATTTTGAATATTAATTCATAATGGAGGAAATCCTTGTCAAGAAATTGTGTTTGTCTGTAGTTCGACCAAAAAGCGAGTTTATTCGTGGATATCCTTTGCATAACTGTATACAACATTAACGTCCGGCGCATTCAGGTCTTTTGCTTTAGGAATATGCTTTATTTCTATCTTAGGTCTTGTTTTACATCATCAAGGCCATTTGTGGCCAATTATTTCCTCCAGCTTTTCTGGAAGGTTTATTTCGTTTTCAGATAAATTATATCTCTAACATGTTTCAGACAGATGATGTGGACCCTGCGCACTGAGATTCTCCGGTATTGTGATCAAGTATTGGAAGGTGTACCGACGCAGGACATGCTAGTTTGTGTTTTAGTCTATTTTCTGTTCTTTTTTAAGCCCTTAAGTTCATCCATATCATAAGCGGTTATTTTAGTGATATTCATCGTATTTGTTTTATTCTGCAACTCATTTTGTAAAGGACTGATGAGCTAGTGTCTCCTCGGAATTTCTGTTTTTCTGCTCTCTGCACGCAAACAACATCGACGCAAGAAGACCTTAGTTTATTGCCTTTTAGTAAACATATTGCTTCGTATCTTGCTGGTTTCCAGTTCGTTGCCAAGTGTTTGCTTACTTCATAACAGGACAATGATGCTCATCGGAATAGGCTGAAAATGAGCGTGACCGTGTGTTTGGGTCTTTATTTGCATGCTGCTTATGGGACTCACACCCAGCCTCCGTTATCCAATATAATCCACTTGGAGATCTTTCGCTGATGACAACACGTTATATTATGTACACAGAATTTCACCCATATCGGCTTTGTTAAGACAACGTTCGCTGACTAATCTTTGTATTGTAACTCGTTTGTGAAATAACATTATTCTCACAACAATCAGTAGAGTGAGACTGGTTCCATGTGAATGTGACGTTCTTGTAAACTACGAACGGACGAAATTCTTACGAATAGCCTTTGTTGAGCTGAAGCAAGGTCGGTATCAGTTGTTGTCGTTGTGGTTCGAAGGCTGATGTTTCGACGACTTCTTCTTCAGAACCTGGACGTATTTTATGTAACCGCTATCCAAATGAGACATTACATTAGACATTTCTCTTGTGGTTTTAAATCAACGCTTACTTCGAGTTTCAGGAATCTGGAGACTGAAGAAGGTTGTACGATACTTTCTTTACTTTCAATCTAATGTAGCCATTATCACACAACGTAAACTATGCGCTATTTCTGCGTAGCTAAGATTTCACATTCGGATTATTAGATGCGGTTAAACAGTTGTTCAGCGAATGCTCATTTGCTTGTGTGTGGTTGAACGCATCTCATTTTCCTACCATTCCTTCAAAATCCTGACAAGAGTTTTCGCTTTTAAACAGTGTCTTAGTGATCATTACGGAAAAATTTGGAGCAGATTTTAACTAACGGTGCTAAGAAATTGACTGGATTATATCTCTTATGTACGTAGTAATGAAAGTTTGGTAAAACTTAAGTACAGATTTTGAATATTTACGAGAACGAAGCTTTTCTTTTTGGCAACAATAACCAAAAATATGGATACTATTACTATTTGCAGAGTGCCGTTAGCAAAAAAAATATTCATAAATTTGAACAAAGGCGTTTGTATCTACTTTATTTCTTGAAAGTGAATATTTCCAGCGAAATCTCTAAAGGGAGGCAGAATGCCGTTCATATGTGAGCCCTCTTTCCTATTTGAAACGCCACTCATTTTTAGGTGATGATGGAGATGGAGCCGGCTGATATAATGGAATTGGATCTAGCACATCCAAATCAGCACGAGGTTTGTGAATTGCTATCTAAAATATTTAAAACGGTTTGGATAGTTCCCTAATTTTCTTCAGGGTTATTTTTTCTCATTTTTTTCCGGTTTATTTTTGCTCATTTTTTAGCATGGTGTTATGATTAATCCATTGCTATAGGTGACATTACAACAGTTGGCAAATTTGAAGCTGGCCGCAAAGATGTTGCACGATGGAAACGAAGCGGATCTCGACTTGGTGATTAAACAAGTCATTACCGGTGGTCAGGTGAATCTCACCCTTTCTTAGTTCAAATAAAAAAGTCAATAAAGTTGTGCGTTACTGCGATGACAAAAGGTTAATGTTCCATTCGCTTTTGGTGCTACGACAAAATTGAACGTAAGGATGAAAGTTAATTTAAAAGGAACGGTAACAGCACTATGCAAAAAATGGTCTATTACAAGACGGTAATAAATACAGTATCAGGTCGCTAATTTGCGCTATAGTTAGCAGCGTCGTCAAATAAGAGATTTCATACAATCTCTTTCTTGTTTTAGTTGTTTTTAACGTGGAAATGTGATAATTATATATCTTTCATTTGCATTTCACCATAATCTTGTTGTGGATCGGATTCTCTGCTTTCATGCTCACTGGAACTAAAGAGGAAGGGATCGAGAAGCTTTCAAATTGAAATGTATGCTATCCAATGTTTTGAATAAAGCGCGATTGACATTTTCCGTATTAGTTGTTGTGCTGGTCGGCTGTCGTACGCACTAAGTGGTCTTGAGCCGAAAGTTACGGTATGGTCGGGGTCGTCGCTGATCGGCGATCTGACACGGTGATTGTCGTGAGATAGGTGTCAATTAGTGACATATCTGCTTATTCAAGCATACAATAAAGCAAAAGGACTGCTAAACTAATTTTTTGTTTGTTCAATTATTAACGGTGAAGGAAAAAACGCGCTGTAATTCGTACGTTGGAGAGGAAAGTGCGGCGGACATTTGCTTACTTTTTATCTGTTATTTCATTTCATGTCATCGTCCTTGGCGGCGTATGGCAGCCATTTTATGAAATATGATCGTACGTGAATTGTAACATCCTAAAAAATCAAAGAATTGTTGAAAAATTCGAGTTGTTGGTGTCCATGGTGTCCATGCACTATCGCGCTAAAATTGGTCATCTGAAAATAAATCATAGGTGGTGTAACATTCAAATTTTTTCCTGCCTAGGTTTGTTATATCTTCTTAGTCTCATCCTCGTTCCTTGCTATATATAGCCAGTTGTGCTTGGACGTAAATTGCCTTTGTGTTCTACAAAACAAGCAACCATATTTACCTATCCTTCCATCATTTGACAACGAGGTCGATGGTCCAGGGCGAATACGGTAGCGCTATTTCTATTGAGGTCTAGAGCAGGTTCTTAATGCAGCGATGTTTCACCATCGCCGATAATCAATTATCAATGGGAATAGGCTTGTTACGGTAACTGATACTTTGTTTTGTTAGCCTGTGTTGTGCATTGAGTTGGAGTGCTTAGAAGACGAATGTGTGTTGCTGGAGCTAAGTACACAACTTATATCGATTTGGAGTAATTTTACACACGCGTAAATATGTGCGTGCATGCGCTCTACAATTGTCAAAGCGCATATGTTTGTAAGAATTGTGAGTTGCAGCTGTTAACATCAGTGTTTCCGGAAGAACTTGTAATGATGGCAGATAGGTTGGTTATCCTACAACCATTTGCTCACATTGTGTTTGGCCTAATTTGCCACCCATTTTATAACAATAACATGTCACTTTGAGCTTGTAGTGATTCAAATCTGAATAGAATTACAGAATAGCACGTAAATGCATATAGACTTAGACTGTAAAATTGTTGAGTTGTTGAATCTCGATGGCTTCGCTAGGACCTCCACTGATATCTGCTACAGCAGCCAACAGAAGTGAGTGTGAATAAAGCGAATTCGTTTACCTGAATTGAACGTTATAGCGTTGAAGTTGTGGACGAGAGCTAAGTGGTTAAAACAGTTTTCGTCATGGTTACTCCATTCTTTTTTTTGAAAATTCGGATTCGCGGATGAGGCTAAACATTTGGCTCTTCTAACGAACTTATTCAACTCAGTGAAAATTTGTAGATGTTTTAACATCCAAAAGTGTGTGTTTTTCTTAGAAAGCAATCTAGCTATAATTGCATATAGACTTAGATTGTATCGGATAAATGATCGTGTAGATGATGTCAAGGTAAATCTATCATCTTGGAAAAATGGTTTAAACAGCTTGGAAAGCTTTGACTCGATCGGGAATCGCAGTTCAGTTACATCGTTATATTTTTTCTCCGGACTGGCCATTTTAGCCCAGTATTACGGTCCATTTATTCAAAACCGCTAGTACCATTCGGACATATAATTACTATGACCTTTACGTATATTGCTGTTTTACGAGCAAATATCTAGTTCAAGCCTAATAGTCATGGAGAAGTTCGGATGTATGATATATTATGCTAATAGGATCAATCGTGAAATTGTTAAATGTCATGCTAAAGTGTTTACTTTTATATTCAAGTATTCATTGTTATCATTTCGTAGGCTCCGATAATAATAATCAGATTATAAATAGTAATGAAAAAGCTAATAAGTCTGAATATTGGAGACTCCTCAAAAATTCTGCTTTATGCCTTCTTGGTGTTCTGGCGTCAACTGAAAATTGCTGTTGGTTCAGAAATCGTTTTCAAATGTTTAGTTTCCGTAGTTAGGATAAGTCTGTCTTGCTGAAATTTTCGCAAAACTTCCCAAGATTCGTTGGTAACCTTGCATGTCAAGCAGCATTTTCGCCACAGTGTTTAAGGAACCTCTCTAACCAGGACAGCTATCTGTTAGGAATGTAAGCGAAGTCGATAGGGCCGTGGTGCTTACTTTGACGACGGCTCTGATCCACAAGTCGTCCACTCCACCCGTCCGTCGCTAGGGGTGCCCCCACCGCCGAACGGTAATTGCCTTCTTGTGTTTCTTCTTCTTCGTATTCATCGATCACGGAGACGCCAGAAATGTGTCTTAGTCTGGGTGCTTTTCGCAACTGAAGGATTGACGCGACTCTAGTTCTAAATGCTACGAAATTGTCTAATTTAAATAACAACGACTTCACGCGTAACAGGAATGTAAGGCGATATCGAGGTTCTGTTAACAAGAATGATGCCTTACGGGTGGATATTGCGGCTATTGATGTGGACGGCTTTGAAAAAATATTTGCTGCAAGACATTGTTAGACAGACGTGCTTAAATTTATTCACGGACTGACTACTGTCCGTTCGAAACGTTGTACCGTCCTGTTGACGCTTGCTGCATCCATTAACTCATTTTTTTCTGCAGATCTGAAAAATTCCTGAGGAAGGTTTGTCGAAAAAACAAAAGAATCTGGTAGTTTAGTCTTTACAAGTATGCTCAGACGGAACGCATAACTGGTGTTCATACCAGTCGTGATTCCATGAAATTGAATGAGTGCCTTATTTCGTAGTCCGTAGTGTAGGTTTTCACTCTTTCATTAGGGATATTCCTAATCTTTATTCCATGTTTTCGCTATTTCTCATCGGCCTCGGAGAAAATAGTGCGCTGTCAGCTCTAGTCTATTAGACAACAATTTCTGCGAAATTCTTCTGTGCTTAGAAATTCCTTCAAATATACCGGTGAGAATTCATGACGACGATGGGAAGGTGCATGTTTTCACTGTTTTAGAAGTTCTGTAGTTTACTGGTTTCGGTAAAGATTTTTGTGAAAAACTTTCAGTTTTTCTTGCTTTTCTCTTGATTTAGTCAAACAATCAATGTGCTCAGTGGTAGGTTGACTTCTGATTTTGAAATTGACTGATGCTGGGGAAAACTTGATGAATCATTAGTCGGTAGTGAACATTTTGGTTTAAAATGTTATGTGATGCTATAGAATTTACGCATTGGTGGCTGAATCGACAAACCTGAAGAAGAGGGATACTTGAATACATATTGAACGAGCGCAAAGTGCTTGATTGCTTAGTGGGTGTCTGCGCCGAAGAATGGCACAGAGCACAAGTCAGCCGAACGAAGCACTCCCTCGTGTGTCGTCATCCTTATAAACTTCAAGCGGTGTTTGATTGCCTGTCATAGACGACAGCATTGCACAAGTAGTAGGGTCAGTCGCTATCGTTCGACTGCGTCCATTCGTTAGTGTTCACTCAATAACGAGTTTAGTTATTCAAACTAGTTATTCACATGGAAATAATTGATGCTGGAATTGCGACAAATGCGCCATAACTCTGAAGCATTCACGAGTAAAAGTAATACATGTGTTTGGAGGTTCTTGTAAAATTGATTGCGTTTTCATAGACAGTATTCTTCGGGAATAACGTGATGGTTGTCTTATTTTGGCTATTTTTCTTTTTCTAAGAATTTTCTAAGAAAGAATTTTTTCATGTCACGCAATCAATTTTACAATTACGCAATTAGCGGGTTAATCACGAAAATCTTTTCATGCGTAAATCATATACATGTATATATGTATATCTGTATATGTACATATGCATATACGTATATATATATATTGGATAAAAAGGATAAAGTTCTCTGCGTTGATCACTCCCTAAGAGATGCGCTATGCATTCGGCTTCATTAAGGATCGTCGGCGGTGATTGAATGCATATCTGGTTTTTACAATGACTTGTACTGGACTACCGATGTATCCAGCCAGTGCTGCTATTCTACCAGACAAATCTGGTACCAATTTGTCGATGGAAGGTTTTCTTGGGCGCCGGTATCGATTCCATGTGTATTGCAAGGCGCCTCGGACCACCGCACTACATGTCCCTATATATATATATATATATATATATGCATATATATATATATAACCATTCTACCATTCCAACGGTTTACCGCCTCATCGTGGCTGGCAGGTGTTCCTGGGTGTCGAGCTGCAACGTGCAACGGGGCGGTTCATCAGCCCCGGCAGGATCTCCCAGGATGAGGTGTCCGGCGTTTCCACGTTCCTACCTAAAAACCAATTAAAAGAAACCAGTTTGTCAGAATCCTTTGATAGAAGCACTAAAAAACGTAAAACTAAATGTGTAGTAGAAATCACAATGTTATGCCTTTTTATTTTCTGCCTACTGTAATTTCGCGGCAGGGTACTAAGCGAAATACAATTCGATAATCTAAGACTGTGTTGGGAATTTTTTTATGCTTTTATACGTGTACCTTCTAACGGTTTACCGCCTAATCGTGCCTGAGACGTGTTCCTGGGTACCGAACTGCGATGTACAGTGGGCGGATTCATAGCCTCGGCAAGGTCTTAAGCTCAGGAGTCTGGCGTTTCCATCAGGAAGCTTAGCTAAGAGTAAACCATTTCCAGGATCCACCACTGTCCTGGTATCAAACTAGTTGTATCGGGGCAAATTTCCTTTTGATCCACAAGGACGGCGACTGCCTATAGTGACGACCTGGGAGACAGCCTTTGTCCTTACTGACCACGGGGCTCCAGTGAACGACGATGGCTAAACCACCAAAACTCGAAAAAAATTGAGATCATGCAATGGATCGCACAACCATTGAGGACGGGGCATCCAAGTATCTAAGTAAGCACTATATATAGATATGTATATATATATATATGTATATATACGTATACGTGTGTATATGTATATATATATTTATATACATGCATATGTACACGAAAATGAAGTCTCGAAAAAATACTCCGACTTGTGTGACCAAGGTTCTCAAGCTTATAGGTGGAATTAATTTTGGCTACACTCCACATAATGCTGCTGTTGAGGTATAATCTTTTTGGTCGAGCAACTTATTGTCAGATGCAAAGCATTTTCTACCCAGTATTTTCTAAAGATGAGGAGGCTTAGCAAAATTTGTCAACAAGAAGGTTGCTATATATCACCTGTATCACCTGTAGTCCTGTTGATCGTCGAGTGACTCGAGCGGACGCCATTAAAGCTTCCATTTTTCCCTGTCGTGTGCAAGAGTAGTCCAGTGGGTTCTGGTCGCTCTAGGGATTCGTCAAGCATCATATCTTTCTTCAAGGCTCTTTGTGAAGAACTCTGACCATCGGGTCGGTGGTCTTCTTGCAGTACGTTTGACATCGCGAGGAATCCAGTCACTAACGGCTCTTCTCCATCGGTTGTCATTCATACGCATTAAATGTCCGGCCCACTTTCGACTGTTTGGCGTACAGAACGGCATCTTTGATTTTTGATCGTTGATGCAGATCGGAACTTCGGATCCCTTCCTTTACCTGCGTAAAACAGGATACTCTAGCACTGTCCTTTCGACTGCGTGTTCAATAACGCTGAGTGATCTTTCATGCTTACGCAGCGACCAGGTTTCTGACGCATACGTTAGGGCAGCAAGTGCCGTTGAGTCGCAAAGGTGGGTACGGAGTCGGGTGTTCTTTGTTCTCTTCACTACATCCTCGATGCTCTTGAAAGCTCTCAAAGCCGCTCGTTTCCTTCTGCTCAACTCTGGAGCTAGGCCATTCATTATATCGATTTCCCGACCTAGATAGGTATAACTGGAGCATTCGGAGATATTCGTTCCTTTCAGCGTGAATGGGGCATGCGAAACCAATCCATTCTTCATGAACATCATTTTTGTAAGATTTAGTCGAAGACCAATCGTTCCGCAGGCTTTATCAAAGTCGTCAAGCATACGTTCCGCTTGGCTAATGTTTGGTGTTATAAGGACGATGTCATCAGCAAAGCGAATATATACGTATGTATATATATATATATATATATACATATATATACTTGGATACTTGGACATTCCGTCCTCACAGGTAGTGTGTGTCCTAGCATATTCTCCAGTTTTCGGAGTATTGCTTGTTTAGCCATTGTTTCCCTGGAGCCTCGTGGTCAGTAAGGCCAAAGGCTGCCTCTCAGTTCGTCACCATAGGCTATTCTCAACGCATTTACCCGTATTTTGGATAAGTTCACAAGGTGAAAGAATCATACACAGTTTACTTGTTTACGTCACATGTTCAGAATAATAATTGTTTCCTTGCTGTTTTAAACTTAGTATACTTCACATTTCTAGGTCGTCGTCGAGAGTCCTGATCGAGTACTAGCAAAGCATCTTATTCTGGCGCTTTCAAATCTTCTACCGATTGGCTGTTTGACAGTGTTGATTTACAGCGAGACTTACGAGTCAAAGTGAGGTTTCTTCAGTTTTTACAAATCCTTTGGCTTTCTCTTGTTAGAGAAATAAAGACCCATCAATTTTTTTTGCTTTTTGATTACTTGCTATTTCGTTGGCGTATTCGCAAATTTATGGTGATAGCCCCGAGAAACGGTAATAGCGGGTTCGAATCTGGCTAGTGACCTGGGTTTGGCAAATATCTCAGCGTCATTGTGGTTTTATTTAGCATAATACCCTACCATGAAGAATTAGTAGGCAATAAATAAAAGCTGAGGCGCCTTGCAATATACATGGGGTCGATTCCCACACGCCTGGCACACCAAGCCTTCCGTCCTTCCGGAGTCGGCAAAATGGTACCAGACTTGTCTGGGGAGGATAGCAGCGCTGGCCCGACGCATCGGTGGGTCTCCGCGAGCCATTGTAATGAACAGATATGCATTCAGCCACCTCCATCGATGCTTTATCGAAGTCGAATGCGTGGCGCATCCCTCAGAGATTGATCGACGCTGAGAGCTTTATCCTTTTTATCTTAATATTAGCACGATTTAATTATGAAGTAATGGAAAACGGTGCCGAATTTTACTTCTTGAAAGGAAAAAATCCATTTTGAAGTTTAATGAAACAATTTTAATGTATAACTTTTTATTTATCGCTTATTTCTTCGCGCTAGGGTAAATAAAAACAAAAAGCTGTCGGCGTTGATCAATCCCTGTGGGGTACGCCGCGGGTCCGACTTCATCAAGCATCGTTTGGAGGTGATTGAATGCATGTCTGACCTTTACAATGACCTGCGATGGCCTACCGATGTATCGAGGCAGTGCCGCTATCCTCCAAGACAAGTCTGGTACCGATTTGTCGACTCCGGAGCGATGGAAGGCTTGGTGAGCCATGGGCGCAGGTGTCGGATTCCATGTGTATTGCAGGGCGTATCCGACAATATATTTAAGAATTGTTTACTGGCCTTCCACTGTCAAGTTCGCCACAATCAGTTGTAGGAAACTTAATAGCAGAAAACTAGAACACAGTATATTTTCAAACGTTGTGTATTACTGTGATATGGATTTCTAATTCTACCAGATAGTATTTTTGGCGAAAAATGTGCTCACTTTCTTGTTAGGTGATTGTCTTAACTTTTTAACCACTCTTACGAACATCGTTATGAACACTAGCGCCTGCCGATAGTCATGCGTTTGTTTGCTCAGGTGTCCTACAATAAGAAAGATTCTGTTGGCAGTTATCGAAGCGGGATGTCTGTAGAGCAATTAACTGACAATTAATCAACAATTATCTTTTCTCAGTAGAATTAGCATTACCATAGTATACGATATATCACCCAAAGATTCTTTTAAGAGCAAAATTTGACGCAAAAAGTTTTCAGAGTGACACCTACTTTTTCCTACTGTAATATTCTGACTCTTTTAAATAGCAAATGGCTAAATTCCTATTCGTACCCTTTTTTTATTAGAGATTCCATAAGTGTTCTGCTTTTATGTCCACATAGCAAATAGAAACCGTTCAGATTGCTGACCATAATAAATTTCAGCATGAGTTCAGGTCGTTAAAGCATAGTTTTTTAAAATTTATTGGGTGCATCCAAAGTCGTTCTTTGGAGTACAGTCGTCAATATTTAGTGAAGTTTCCAGGAACTGCTATTCTTCACAGTTACAGGTACAATTTTCTTGGCGGTCCGGTCGATATGGATATACCACTCGATACGAACGTGCTGGTGCTCCGCATCGAGGCCATCGATACCAATCATTTGACAAGCGGGTCCATAGATTCGTGTCGTATTCATGTGCGACGACGTCCTGTACCCACCGATCAAAATCCTCGGTTGCTGAAACGCTATCGGCAGCTTCTGCTCGGTGAGCTCGATTTAGTAGCATACTTGAACTGGAGTAAAAGTCCGTGGATGTGTGTGTGTGTGTCTGCATGTGTATGTGTATGTGTATGCGTATTTATGTGTGTATGTGTACGTCTGTGTGTATATATGTGTATGTGTATGTGTATGCGAACGTGTATATGTTTGTGTATGTGTTTGTGTGTTTGTATGTGTATGTATGTATATATGTACATATGTATACATATATATGCATATATGTATATATGTCGCTGTTTCAATGTGTGTGTGTGTGTGTGTGAGTTTTTTTCTAGTAGATTTAGTATTTCACGTTTTCCTTTGTTTATGTTTATGTTTAGTGCAGTGGCACTACGAGGCCATTTCAACCGTTTTCAGACAACGAAGTGCACAGTACTGTTCTTGACGCCACAATCCGTTCAACACGTGAACACTGGGTTTCGAAAGCAAAGCTGGTTTATCAGATGTCTTGTCAGAAAGAGATCACTCCATCAGTGAACATCAGCAACGTGTTCAACATCATCCGTGGTTGTTCCGAACAGGTATCCGTGTCTGTTTTCCTTGTTTCTTCTTTAGAACTTGAAAGTTCTCTACTTTTTTTGTTATCAAAGCCGTTTTGTTGTCACTTATAAGTATCAGATGCGAGATTTAAAACTTTTAATTGGTTAACAGACAGTTGTCATTCTTATTACATTTGTTTGGAAAGGGGACGGAGTAAGCCTTCCTCTTTATGGCACACGTCTTGATGGTTCGACTAGCTCGCTTTTCCAAAAAAGCCGTAGACAACTTGTTTTTGCATATTGTAGAAGGATGCTGGGTTGCAGCGTAAAGTAGACGTGTAAAACTTCATCAATGCATTTATGTTTCAGGATCGTGATGTGCTAATGTTTTGGCAAGAGGGTTTGTCGAAAGTATATAAGGAATCTGTGATTGCAACAATTAGTCAACACCCACATTAAATACGTAGAATTACCGCAGTGCATCCTGCGTCATACATAAACCGATATAGCATAAGCGGGTAAGGCATTGGCCAAGTATGATCTCGCTATGTGAATTCTGCTCGTTCTTTCCCCATGAAGATATCTGTTATCTATTCAGAGCTTTTCCTTTTACCATTTGTGCTGTATTTTTCGCCGTAATCACTTTTTATTGTAGATGTGATTTATTTCCGCCTATAGTAATTTATCTTTTTCAATTCTCTGTTCTAGTCCTCAAAGAAGTGAAAACTCTGGCTTCAGCAGCAAGCTGTATGAGTTCATACGCGACGTAGATGAGTATGATGTTTGTCTCCCATGTCATACTTATTTCACACCATATGTTGCATATTTAAAAGGGAACGTATTATTTATTAAAATGTGAAGAATGGTCGTAAAACTGTATATCGTTTTATGGAACTGTATCTCGCCATCAAAGGGAATGAGGAATGTTTGTATTGTAGCTATTCATTCGATTAGGCATCGCGCCCAAAAACGTCGCGGAAAGAACAGTTCTGATAATTGGGTTTTTCATATCCTTGATCGTTGTCACATGATATGGTACTGTGAGTGTCATGTAAATTTGGAATATGTATGTCAGTCTCCATCTTGTAACTTGGAGCTACGTCCGGCAACCAATATAGAAGTTTAAGTGAACTCGTGGTGGTGTTAGAACATAATCTACTTAATCGTTCCAGTCTTATTTAAACATAGATCTCGTGATGCTTTGGAGGTTCTTCGTGCAAACGGATAGTGTGCATGTGCGAGCGCGGTTAGAGTAGAAGACTTGTCGAGTAACGTTAAATTTGATTTAAAAATGTGAGTACTTGTTTCCTATAATGTAATGCTTTACGAATAAGGAAAAAAATTGGCAGAGTTTAGTGGTAGCATATGGGAATGTAGGCTTAAAACGTTGTCGCAAGAGTCCTTTTGCTACACCTTCTGTAATCATTCATTAATTTATCGAACTCCCACTTTAGTGATGGGTGTTCGCTGAAGAAGACTCCACCCCTTTTTTTACACTACTAGCCACCACGTACTGCACGGGTCCGAGCACTTGTATTCGACTCGTTTCCCAGTTTCTACCATCCACGAAGATTTTCGAGTTTTGCCTGTGAGGTCAGCAGCTGCTCGAGGATTCTTAGTCCTCCGAATGCAGTTATTGCAGTTCGGGTCTATGCGTTCTCAAATCTTCATCCTAGATCTTCAATTTTTTGGAGCGAGCTGTTCCTTGTTAAACCTGATAACAATTTCCCTACCTTGGAGAAATGAGGGCTAGACATAGGGCAGGATCGGACCAGGCCAGTGTTTTAAACGGTATCACTGTGGCTGCTTTGCACGCTCGTTGCTTCATGGCTGTGTTAACTTAGTGAAAAACTTTCATTGGTTTATCGCCTTATCATGGAAGTTTATGGGTGTTAGACTGCGATATACGGAGAGGCGTTTTTCCTGCAGTAGTCTCCCAAGCTATTTGACATTGCTCTGCGGAAGCACAACAAGCATAAACCAATAAAGAATCAACGTCATCCTGGTCATCAAACTAGTTCAAGTTAGCCAAACTCGTTCTAATGCTCTGGCGACTTGAGGAGCTATAGGTAGGCTACTGTTGCTACTCTAATCACAAATAGTTCGATCAGCAATCTCTGTGGTGTACGCTTTGTCGTTCTCCGATCTGCTACCTATCATGTCCCATACGAGATCTTGTCGCATCGTCTGACTATTCTACTGTAGTGACCCAGCGATGAAAATTACAAATTACATGCGTTCCACTATCAGTTTAAGGACTCTGCAACGATATCTCGTTTAAATTCGTCGTTGATAACTTCTAAACCAGATTAGGAATGGTTCGTGAAAAGGAATACAGGATTGGAAAGATTGTAACAGGAGATAAAAATGAAAGTGGAAACCGTCTTGCTGGACTCCTTCTGGGTATGTGTCTTTTATAGGAATTCGCTTTTCGGAAAAGAGGAAATCGCTGCTGGACATAACCATCCAACGCCACGACTAATACGCTCATCGACCACATTCACACAAAGAACATGGTGTCATCTTGACACGTTCGTGGTGCCATCATTCTTGTTCTCACTGCCTTTGTCTTGCGAAAATTTGATAAGGTCATAGACAAAAAATGAACTCTTCTCACCGCTCAAGAAGAAGAGAAATCATATATGACTAGAGTGTTCTCAATGATATCTTCTCATTGTATGACTAGCAAGTCCAGAAAGGCCTTGCCGAATACATCAACCTGTTTATCGTAGGACTTAAAAGGTGTGACGAACTCGCTTTACTTGCCCGAGCGAGAAATTCAGACCACTTCTCCGTCCTCACTAAGGAATTTCTAAGAAATAGGGGAAATTTTTATTTTACATGACAGGTCATCACATCCACTGTGCGGAGCACTTCTTGCAATCGATTCGCTTTCCCTGTCTTCATCGTCCACAAAGGTCATGATCATGTACTTTATCGAAGAATTAGATGCAAGCGAGCGTCCATTGTAGGTACAGATCAAATCAGACCAGATCACCTTAGTTCTTTGTGATTTGGGCAGCCTAAAATGGTCCTGAGATTTTAGTATTCTCTTCGTACGCGTTCAAACCAAAACAGTCATATCGGGGCTCTTTCGAGGTGGAGGACTGAGGCCCACTTATTTTACTGTGTCTAGGGTTTGATACGTTTAGCTTTCTGACCTCTGAATGTCGGGAGCTGGATATACTCACGGGTAGTTTACCATTCTCTCCCAGAGTTAATGGGAGAGCTTATTTGTTGGAAGCTGCTCCTAACTTCCTCCCATATAGATCCCTGTCATTTAATTGCAGGCTTTTCCGAAATCGACTAGTAGGATGAAGTTCGCATATATGAGAACACACCCACCATACATACATGAATATGTCTTCATGAGTACAGAAGGTATGTTCCAATCGAAGCAGAGGAAACGAATTGGTGCCATCTGCATCTTAGGGAAGCATAACGTTGCCGTTGCTTCTCGATTAACCCCCTATTCGCCACCAGATGGGCCACAGTAACTTGCGACTAACCAGTATGTGGTCATTCTATGAGTGAGTTCCGTGGAAGGCACATGTACTGATGGAAAATTCTTATCAAATCTTCGTTTCGCGGATGACAGCATAATCTTTTCAAATGTACCAGTGAACCAGAGACTTTGCTATATGAACTCAACGAAGCGAGAAAAATTATTGGACTGTAGACAAATCGGAAGATGAGCGATGCAGTTCACAGATAGCCTCTGTACTAAGCAGGTCAAATGGGATAGTTCTCAGATTATACAGGGCAGATTGCACGTATGTGCTTGGTGCTTAATAAACATGGAGAACAAAATGGAGGAGAAAAAACCAATATGGAGAGCGGAATGAACCGCACTAAGGTTTCTCGGAGAAGCCCCGACCAGCTAACGGACGCGAAACTGAGACTTACCTCTTCCATTCGAAGCTCGTCTTCTGTTATGCAGCGTAGATTTGGGTTGATGCTTCAACCATGCAGAAAAGGGCGCACCACGCACATTTGGCAATCACAACATCTTGCTCATCTTTGAAAGTTGTCCCTCTTCGAGATCCAAGAGAATGTAAATCGACAGCAAAAGATGCGAAGATGTATTGAAGCCTACACTATGCGTGAGGACGGGTAACCCAAATATCATAGCAAGCAATTTGCGAAGGAGCCATGTTTTGGACGTGTCTATTCCTCTAATTTGGATTTCGCTATGCTAGCATATCTGTTATATTCGTCACGTAGGACACTTCATCTACACGACTGGATGATAAAGCACTGAGACAGCTAGTAACGAGGTGTTCGTGGTGTGCACAGGGAATATGCATGTTCACAGCGGGCATTAATCAATCTCAAGAGTGCATCTTAAGGCTTAAGAATGAGTATTCTCCGCTGCCTATTCTTACAATATTTCACATATGTTCTCAATATTTTCCTCATTAGCAATGAAATAAGTGGTAAAGTGATAAAGCTATGCTGAAGAAGTGCAGATCTAGAGGAATCGGTAGCGATAGTTGAAAAATCACCGGTTACTCTACGTCCACAGTTAGTCCGTAACCGCCTGTATGACCGTCTATGTGAAACAACAAATTACGTAATTTGCCCTTACGGCAGGGACGGTGACTGCATGGGTTCAGGTACGAGATACCTGATTTCTTGTAGTACTTGCGGAGATATTGGCGAAACGGGCAGACCTTTATGTATCCCCATGAAAGAGCACCTAGATAGTAAACAAAAAGTAGTCACTAGGAACGCATAGGATATAAGAGCATAGCAGAGACGATTTTGACATAAAAGTCGCTATCCTCGCACAGGATTCCGAAACACCAACGCGCAAACTTTTCGAGGCCTTTTGAATAAATGCTAAGAACCTGAAAATGAATAGATAGCAGGGAGGAATGCTCGTAGATAACACGTGATCTAGCCCTGTATCTCAGAATTGGTTTTTGATAAGCGGTGGTGCACTCATTGACCATATGCGACTTTAAGAGGCTGTTCTTCCTGGCTGGAAGGCAGGCAAAAAAAGTGAATTTTTCCAGAATCTGCAGATCGTGTAATCATCGCTCAGGTTTTCACCTTCTCTTTGTGCTGTTGAAGCGTTTGACCTAGTAAATTACGTATCAGTGTACAATTCCAGGCTCTGAAAAAGGCGATACTACCGAAACATCAGCTACCGTTAAGTTGAGTGTGTTGTTTTTGTAAAGAGAGAAACGCGTGCTAAATAAAAACCTCGCGATTGCTGAAAAAGACAACGATGCATGGTTTGTTTTAACGGTGGAGATGGTGATTGCACAGGTTCGCGTACAGTTTATCTGATCTCTTGTAATGCGCACGTAGACGATTATACTGGCTGGACAGGTAAACCACCATGTGTCTGTAGAAAAGAACACCCAGGCGGTAGGCGTAATTCTAAACAAAATACTCCATTAGGCGCACATAGGACACAGAGGCATAGCGGGGAAGATTTTGAAGTAGAAGTC